CCTGAACAATCCCTTAGTTATGCTACTATAGGCCAGGAGACTTCCCATGATGCACTGAGCTCCTCTCTCCTCCTCTCCCTCTCCACCTGTATGTATAAAATATTTGCATTTGCGAAAGTAAACACATCCATAACTTTGAGTGTCCTAGTTTGTTTGGCTCAGTTGTACTGTATTGTTGTGTTGTACTGCAGCGCCGCTCAGTGGATGTGACTGGAAAAACATAAGTCAGTTTTCTGTATGGAATAAACCTGCAAATAATACAGTACATCCCAACTTTAATAACTTACAAAATCAATTAAAAGAAGAACATATAGTAGCCTACTTCAGGTGTGGAAAATGAAATACTTTTAAACAGGAAAAAACATGCCCTCGTTCATATAGAATGTGGCAGAAATTTTTTAAATTTCAGCCACTCCAGTGGTTAAAGCAATAATTTGACATTTTGGGAAATTCACTGATTTTCTTTCTGGTGGAGAGTTAGATGAGAAGACAAATACCACTCTCATCAAAGAGTGGTATCTTCAAACCCCACCAGACTATCTATGTCTCTGTGAGGAAGTTGTAGCTTCCCTGCTTCTTATATGCTGGATTCACTTATACAGAAACCCGCTGCAGGTGATTGATCAGAACCACACAGATGCTTTCAATTCCAAGTCCCTGCTCCGATGAGTAGTCTGGCAAGGCAGGGAGCTGAATGATTCGAGCCACAGTGTGTGTAAGTTCAGTTTCCAGCCTTCACTTTGGCAGACCTCGCTTTGACGTCAAGTATGTTTTAAGCCTACTACCCTGTCTGTTTGCATCTGAAGATTTATTCTAAATTAACCACAACAAAGTTTATCTGCATATTTAAACATCATATGCTTTGGTTATTGTTTATCCTATTCACCTGCATTGCCTTGGAAAATGTATGTAAATACTAAACTAATTTGAATATCAATCTGGTGATTGTGATGACATTATTAGACACAGATTTTACTGTATTCACCTATAGTGTCTCCATTAAGTACAGTACATTAGCCTCCATGGCCTTAGCTGAACTTGAGCTAACTTATTACATTAGCTAGTTGCTCATTATCAGAGAGAGAGAGAAAGAGGGAGGGCATTGAAAGACAAAGTATAAGCTCCCGACCCAATATATTGATATCTGGTTTGATTTTATTAATTTATAAAAAAAAAAAAATTTATAAAAAAGTTTTAAAAACAACAACACCAAAAAAGGGCACTTTCGCTCCAGGAACAAAAAGGGCAGGTGCTCCTGAAGTTTGAGGATGGCATCGCCCTCATTGGGCTCATCCCTGGTGGGGATAAGTCTATCTACAGGTGGGAGACAATCTGGTGACCTGGTGCAGACAGAACAACCTGGAGAGCGACACTCATAAGACACTGGAGATGGTACTGGACTTCAGGAACCCCCCCCTATTACAGCTGACACTGTGGAGTCCATACACTTCCTCAACACCATCATCAACCAGGACCTCAAGTAGGAGCTGAGGTCCTGGTAAGATCAACCTGCTAAAGACAATGATTGTGCACTCTGAAACATGCAGGGCCACCACTCCCACCACAAACTGTTTCAGACACTGCCCCCCATTTTTACAGCACATAATGTAATTTGCAAATGTAAACCCCTGTTTTGTATTTTTTGCAGATATTCTGTATACTGCATATTCTGTTTTACTGAAAGTAATAGATTCTGTTGGGCCCCATTTGATCTCTGTTTTCAACTGCTCCCTATCTACTGGTTGTGTCCCTGATTATTTTACGGCTTGCGTGAACCCACTTTTAAAGAAACCTGGTTTAGATCCCTCCCTCCCACAAAATTTTAGACCAATTTCAAAACTGCCTTTTATTGCAAATATTCTAGAAAGAATTGTGTCCAAACAGCTGCTCATTGTACTGGAAAATAACAAAATATTTGAAAAGTTTCAGTCTGGTTTCAGGAAGTACCACAGCACTGAGACTGCCCTGCTTAAAGTCACCAATGACCTTTTAATGTCTGCTGATGAAGGTATGTGCTCAGTCCTGGTACTCCTGGACCTTAGCGCTGCTTTTGACACCATTGATCACAACATCATGTTAGACAGACTGAGGCACTGGGTGGGGATCTCTGGTACTGCCCTAGAATGGTTTTCACCCTGTCAAATAGGAAGTATTGCGTGTCTGTAAACAACTATGTCTCTTCGTTCTGTCCAGTTAAATATGGTGTGCCTCAGGGGTCGGTCTTAGGACCCATTTTGTTTTCCTTGTATCTGCTTCACCTTGGACATATTATCCATAAACATGGCATTTCTTTTCATATTTATGCTGATGACACAAATATACTTGCCCGTCAGATCCACAGATCCTGGAATGCTGAGTTCACTTAACAACTGCCTTTGTGAAGTTAAAAAATGGATGTCAAATAATTTCCTCCAGCTGAACTCAGACAAAACAGAAATCCTGGTCATTGGGTCCCATCTGCTGGTTCCCTAGTAAATCACATTAAGCCTGTGGCAAAAAACCTTGGTGTTTGGTTTGATAGTAATTTAAATTTCAAGCAGCACACCACAAAGCTTGTTCAATCATGTTTTTATCAACTTAGAAATATAGCAAAAATTTGATCTATGTTAACTTTTAAGGACACCGAGACCATTTTACACGACTTCATCTCATCACGCCTGGATTACTGCAACAGTCTTTTCACCTGTTTAACCCAAAAATCTATTGATCGACTCCAGACTGTCCATAACTCAGCTGCCAGGCTTTTAACCAGAACAAAGAAATATGACCACATTACTCCTATTTTAGCTTCATTACACTGGCTCCCAGTATGTTTTAGAATTGACTTTAAAATTTTATTGATTACTTTTAAAGCTCTTCATGGCCTCTCGCCTTGTTATATTTCTGATCTTTTAGTCCCATACACACCAGCACGTACCTTGAGATCCTCGGGCAGAGGTCTGTTGTCTGTTCCAGAGTCTCGACTGAAAACTAAAGGGGACAGAGCGTTTGCTGTCAGGGCCCCGAGGCTCTGGAACAGCCTGCCCGAGGAAATCAGGTCAGCTGAGTCAGTGAACTCTTTTAAGTCCCTTCTTAAAACATACTTTTATAGGAGAGCCTTTCCCGATCTTATTTGACTTTATTTTATTGTATTTTACTAATTTTATATTTATCTTAAACGTGTATTTTAGTCTTTTCAATGTTTTCATGCTTTTATCTTGTATTGTTTTTGTATTATTGTCTCTTGGGTATTATTGTGTTTACACTTGTTAAAGCACTTTGTAACTTGTTTTTGAAAAGTGCTCTACAAATAAAGATTATTATAATTATTATTATTATACTATTCTCTGAAAAGTTTTATACCTTCTGACCTCAATACATTTATGTTCAAATATTTTATGTTTAGTGTAATGCACCAAGTAACCAAACAAATTCCTTGCAGGTGCAAGACTACTTGGCAATAAAGCTGATTCTGATTCTGAAAGATAAAAAAATAAAAGATTATTGTGTATATCCACTGTAAAATTAAGCAGCAAGTGTCTGATCACTGTGAGAGTGTCATAACATCTTTTGCTTGACATTTACATGGCATTTTGTGTTTCAGGAGTAACCTTTTCCTTGTTTAAATGATTAATTTCCTATATTGTATTTTCACAAAGCCAGAAGCCCTTTTTTAAAGGGTGAAAATGATTGTTTGCTTGCATAGATTTGTGCTTTCTCTCACCTGTGCAAAAATACTGTATGTGTGGAAGTGAATGAGAATCTACAGTTTGTATTTTATCCAGGCCACCCTCTCACCTAGATGTTTCTTTTTCCATCTCTTATCCCTTTCTTTTCCTCTGCTTAACACTATAACCAATATCATTTCTTGTGCTGTAGGCGGTCTTATCTCGCCTCCACATAATGACTCTGGACCCCACGACACCTTTCATTTGCTATCACATACAATTAAAGCACGCAAAATTTCCTGGCAGCTCTTGACAAACCACAGAGATAAACTGGATTTAGAGATGTTCTTTCTGCGTGGCATATTACATCCTGCTGGTTTACTGGTCATTGTTATTTCTGTGTTTGTATCTGTAATGCCTGTGTGGAAGAAATATTTCAATTCATCACCTGTAAGGGGTCTTTCATGGATCCTTTCGATGCTTGAGTGCCTGCTGATGGCTTGTCATCCTTTTTTCATCTCTGATACCTGTGAAGTTCCATTATCCTGAGGCGGCCGAGGGTCCATTGAGACATCACTTTCTACACGAACCCCCTTGGGTAATTGCAGGATGTGGAGTCACCAGCAGATCAGGTAAATTCGACTAGTCAGCCTGTGAAAACACCACATCACAGCCCTCACAGGAGCAAAACCTGGCTCACACCTATGAATACTGCATTAAACTGCTGTTTTACTGCATGGGTGATAGTTTCAAATGACTAGATCTAAACTGAGCTCAGATTCTCAGCATGCCGTTTTAATGCACAGTCTAAAGGGGAAAAGCAAAACAGGATAGTTAAAAGGCTATATGGATCAGTAAAACAAATTACATAAAACACTTCATGTTTACTATGGCCGGGAGATCAAGTGGCTGTTCCCCACCAAAAAATAAAGCTATCTGTCCATCAGAAAACTGTAAATCACAGAGCTATTTTCTCATGTTTGTCATTGTTAGGCCAGATACTGGCATATTGGTAATGTAGCCTATAGTGCAAGGCATAACAGCATATTAACCTGGATTTTGATTTCATGGGAACTTTAAGTAGACATACTTAAATTAGAATATGTTTTAGAAAATGATAAACTCTTTCATGTATAAAGAGTGGAACAGAGAATATAAAACAATCCTTAAAACCAGAAAGATACATAGGTCATCAATAATAAAAGTAAATGCAAGACTTTACACAAGACAAAACATTAAGGATAACCCATTTTAAACATTTGAAATAATTCTCAAATTGACCACTTTCTGTCATACTTCATGTCATTTTCTTATTTTCTCTCTTATAGTCAACACCACAAACACACATAGTCTATTGATTGTTCTTTAATGGTGCATGTTGTGCACTATTACGCGCGCTGGGACCCCCACGCTCAAAACAGGGAGGAGGACATGCACACAACTCCAAGTTGGACACAAAATTGTAACCGTGGTCGTTTTGCTTTCTCTCTAAACCCCCAAAGGACCTGAGCGTATTTCTCAGAGTTTTAACTTGTATTAAAAAGTATAACACTTTAGTAGTCAGTTGGATTAACGGTGGGAGAGATGGAGCATCTGTACCCAAACGACGCGTAGCTCAACGTCACTGCTCTCCAAAGCTCGGCACGGACGATGTGGTTCACCGGCGTGGCCATCGCTTCAGTTTATGGCGTAATCAGTGTGTTGGGGCTAATCGGCAACATCACGCTCATCAAGACGTTTTCTTCTGCCAAATCCCTCCGCAATGTGCCGAATCTCTTCATGTCGAGTCTTGCGCTGGGGGACGTTTTACTGCTGGTGACCTGCGCTCCGGTGGATGCGAGCCGCTACCTGTCAGAGGAGTGGCTGTTCGGGAGAGTGGGCTGTAAAGTCATCCCCTTCATTCAGCTCACCTCGGTTGGGGTGTCTGTGTTCACTCTCACTGCCCTCTCTGCTGACAGGTAGGCAACGGTCTTTGTTGTTAAAATAATCAGTGGCCCTATAATCAGTAAGCTACAACTTTAAAAATAGCCATCATAGCAGGAAGTTTTCCAAATGTAATCTTGTTTTTGTCTTTATAAAATAGATAACTACACGCCGTATGTAGGCTACAATACTGATGTTTTACTATTATAATGGAGAGCAAAAATGTAATCTCTTATATTGGTCAGGGGCTCTTTTCTGCGCACGAGATAACTTTGTTCGTCTGTTTAAAGGTGTTGACATGTGTAAAACTCAAGGTAATCACTTGCAACAGTGTCAATCGTCAATTATTGCTGTCATTTAATAATTTCAAAGTTTTTGTTGTCAAATGACATATAGACGACTTTTGAATGTTCAGGTGACAAAAAATCTGTCTGGAGTAGATGCTTCACATCAAAATCAGTTGACAACTTCTACAATGTTTGTGTGCGATTAAAATAGCCTTTATGTTTCTGGGATATTTGATATATTGCAGGATGCATCTGTTTAAAACCAGAGGTAGAGAACAATCTGGATCACCTCACTAAACAGGCAAAAACTCCACTTGTGTGTGTGTGTGTGCGCGTGCGTGAGCCTGCATGAGGGAATGTCCAAGGTGCATATGTCTCAGATTTTCCTTCCTTCTCTTCATTTTCACCCAAACTCCTTAATAACCTGTCACAATCTGAATTTCGTTCATGATGCATCTTTTGTTGTGTTGTTGATGTTGCTGAGCTGCAAGATTAACATTCAAAGGTTAAATCAGCTGGCTTGATTGCCATTCAAAGTATGGAAGTCACGTGACTTGTCATACTCATCATACTGTAATAGCAAATGTACAAACATGAGTCTGTTTACTTTTACAGCATTGACTACTTTTCAATTAGCCTAAGTAGTAGTATCAATCTTCTCATCTAATGCTGAGCAAGAATAAGCCTATTTTCCAAAATGTGAGCTAGTCCTTTAAAGGGGCACACTAACGATTGAGTTCAGTTTACTCTTCATGCAGAGTAGGCTATACAACTTAACTTTTGAAAACAGTTGAGTAATGTCTTCTGTGGCTCTGGAGGGAGCGCTCCAGTTTGAAAAATAACCCTGATGATGTCATCATGGTGTGGAGTTAGATATCAGCCTTTACCAGACAGAGAGAGAGAAGTCATGTGACGTAAGTCAGAACGCTATTTAACTTAAATCTCGGTTTCATGCGGGAGTTGAGTGCAAGTCTCCTGTGTGAAAGTCCCGAGTTTGACTCATCTACCCATCCATCCATCCATCCACCTCCTTATGCGGACTTTCTTGCTTTTTATACTACATCACCTGACTGCTACGATGATACAGCCACTAGAGGTCGCTAACAAAAGAATTAGTAGGCACATATTAAGCAGCTTGAACAAATAACATACATGGTCGTTTTTTCTGGTGATGACATGCTGCCCCTTTCTCTTACCTACCTACCTTTTATCTCTTTCAATCATTCACAGTTAAAGGTTGGAAGAAAAACATTAAAAACGAAGTTGAAATTTCAAACTACTTACAAACCACCTAAGCTTCTAAGCTACGTCATTACAGCCACTCGTCCAAAGAAAGAAATTCAGCCATTGCCACAGTATTTGTCAGCTGGTTACTTGGCTCACACTGTGAAATAATAGGAGTAGGGGTGGAGGAAATTATCTACAGGGCTAAGCTGTTCTAAGTTTATTTGGTTGGAAAGCTTCTCTGTGTATCATTGGTAATCAATAATTTTAATTGCATGCTGCAGCACCAGGAAGGTGCTCAACATGTGGGTGAGGGTTGATGTATCAGAGATGAAATGGCTGCTGGAGAGGTGAGTGTTGATGGGTTTTTCACAAACATTTGTTAGTACCACACACGCTCCAAACCTTCACCACTTGTTAACTGAAGATCTTTAATGTGCTTTGTTATGTGGCAGGATCATAGAGGAAGAACATTTACATTTACATTTACTCATTTGGCAGACGCTTTTATCCAAAACGACTTACATTTGATGAACATCATACAAGCATCAACAGAGCATCAACTACAGATCTACAACTGACAATACATACTAGTAAGAGCTCACAGTACATATCACATCAATGGGGTAGATACCTAGGGAAGGAAGTAAGAGTTAAGTTCAATCAATACAAGATCATTGTAGGGGATAGAAGAAGAAGAGCACAGGAAGTGCATGTTAGAGGTTAGGAGTTAGAGGTGTTATAAGAGGAAGTGTTCTCGGAAGAGATGAGTTTTCAAGAGCTTCTTGAAGTTAGAGAGGGACGCCCCTGCTCTGATGGCGTGTGGTAGCTCGTTCCACCATCGTGGTGTCACAGATGAGAATAGCCGGGACTGGGATTGCTTTGTGTGAAGGGATGGCAGAGTCAGGCGCCGTTCATTGGAGGAGCGTAGCGGCGTTACTGTTTCCCTTAATTGTTTGCCAAATTCATGTAGGCTTGGCATCTTTGGAATAACTTCCAGGACTCTTAAAGGCATTGTCATCTGCAATCAATTTTAACCCTATCAACTTTAAGACATTCTACAAAATTTGACCAAGTATACCGTCATATGTCAATTTGTTACCATGTCATTAGCACTATTTCCAAAACTAGTATTGTTTACACATATTATTCTACCATATTTTCAGAACTTTGAAAAAATCTCAAAAATAGTGAAACATGCTAATATCATTTTTTAAATAAAACATATAACGGAATAGCATAGATAAATATAGGTTAAATAGGCTATATGATATTACAGTGAATGTTCATATGTTTATATATTTCATAAAAAATTATAAATCTATTATCTTAGCATAACTACTGAGTGCTAGAGATGGCTCAATTATGTTGAGTTAAAGCTGGTTTAGACAGTTTATTTCAGAAGCAGTCTTTGTTATATTTGTTATATTTGTCATTCTGCACAAACAGTGTTGAGTGGTACAATTATCAGACCTACAGAGTCATGATTGTGTTGTGCAATTCAGTTCTAGGAAGTCTAGGTAATCAAGGTAATGATTTCAATTGAGTACGGCTCTTATAAATTATTACTCTGTAAATAGAAATATAATAAAATTAAATAGACAGTGAAGTTGAAGTGGTCAAAGAAAAAAGTACTTGACTATGTTCTGTATAACATGGCTGTTCATTTCATTGGTTCAAAGATTTTAATAATCATTACTTCCTTCAAATATTAAAAAAAAAAACAGATTGATGTTAACTCATAGATGAGGCTTGTTTTGATTGCCCCTAATTTTCTATAGTACTTCCTGAAGTTTAACAGGGGTAATGCTTTTACCCCAATGCTTAATAGATCAGCTGTAAGACAGTATTAAGAACAGCTTTTGGGTTGCCAGATAGCAAAAAATATATATCTGGCTGGCGTTTACTTTCCTCTGGCATTATACTTGCTTTGTGCTTTTTCTTGTAGTTGATTTTGATTTTTAAATTGATGCAGGATGATCCCTCCAATGGACCATTTGAACACAGACCTTCTGGAAAAAGAGCTGCAGAACACCTCGGCCAGAATTAATTTATTTACAACCCCTACCGTGCACATTTCACTTCTGCTGTGCTGTTCTCTCTTTGTTAGACCAGCTATAATCAACATTTATATTATGTATAGATCACGTGACTACTTGTATGTAAATGTGTTGTTCATAGTGATGAACTTATCTTCAACTCTGCAGTTTCCCTCAGCTAACACTGAACAAAACAAAAACAAATACTGTACACTGTGTGCACCTAGTGAACAAAGTGTGACATTGGATAGCAATATATTTCCCTCAGGAGATGGTTGAGACCAAAAACAAGCCTAAAATGAGAGTGAATATTGAACTTACATTTACCAGGAATCCAGACAAGAAAGAATGATGATGTTGCTCTGTATCTGCTGGACTTGTAAAAGGGCAAATGTTTGCTAACAAGTTGACCATTTCAACTAAAACCACTACTTGTAAGGGGCCAAAACATCTGTTATTATAGGTTCAAGTGCTGAATGCAACAAATGTGTGTTGATGAGTCATCAACATCTATCTATCAGGTACAGGGCCATTGTGAAGCCCCTGGACATCCAAACATCAAGCACCACTACCAGCATTGTCCTCCGGGCGGCGCTCATCTGGTTCTTCTCCCTGGTCCTGGCCATCCCCGAGGCCATCTTCTCTGACCTCCACACCTTCCACATCACCTCCACTAATGAGAGCTTCGTCACCTGCGCCCCTTATCCCCATTCTGGGGAATTACACCCTAAAATCCACTCCATGGCTTCCTTCCTCATTTTCTACGTCATTCCCCTGCTGGTCATATCTGTGTACTACACCTTCATCGCCCTGAACCTGATGAGGAGCGCCTCAAACCTTCCTGTGGAGGGGAATGTGCATGCAAGACAACAGGCCAGTATTAAAACATTATCAGGGCCGTATTCCAATTTATAACATGCTGACATCAACACGTGCCCTACCCCTCAGGAATTTTTTTTAAATTTTTTGAATTATATATGTGGATTTCTTCAGACTCAGCATGATCTAAATGCTTGTTCAAAGCCTTCACCACATTGGTATGATTAAAAATTGGTGAGGAAACACAGATTGTTTTGTTTATTCATTTATTGGTTGGTTCAATTCAAAATGATGAGTATTTTTACTTTTGATACTTTATTACATTACACACTTTAATACATTTTGCTGATGATACTTTTACTTAATGCGTGACTTTGTAACAGATTATTTTTAATATTGGAGAAACTAGCAGGATACAGCTAGATTTTCAAAGTATCCAACTAATAAAAACCCACCTCCTCCCTTCAGGCCTCTCTCCAAAGCCACTTGCCCACAACACATTATCATGCACAGTTAGTGCACGGCCAGAGTGTGCACAGGTAGACAGGCCTGTCAATCATTTGTGTCAGAGCATTTGATATATTGGTTGCTCCTGGGATGTAAAGACAATTTGAACAAATATAACATTAAATACCTCAGAAATAAATTGCCTAACCCAGCTTTCAGTAAAATAACTGAATAATTCTTCCACCACTGGCACAAATACAATTGAACATACAGTTTTTTGGATGTGTTTAATGTTTAATAAACATTAATGTCTGTTATACAACAGCAGTGCTCTTTCGTTTTGACTTTTTTTTTCTATGACCAACAGGTTGAATCAAGAAAGCGCTTGGCCAAGACAGTGTTGGTATTTGTTGGGCTCTTTGCAGTATGCTGGCTTCCCAGTCACGTCATCTACTTATATCGCTCCTATCACTACTCCCAGGTAGAGAAAAGCCTGTTTATTTGTTTGTATACACTAACTCACAGTCACAATTTGAATCTTTATTTGTTGTTTGTTGTTTAGTGTTATTCTTCTACATTTTACATTTTGTATTTATTTTATATATTTAAATCTGTTTATTTCATACCATCTGTCTATTCCATATTTAAATATTTCTACATTTATTTATGTCAGCTGTATGTTTGTCTACGTGCAGCACCTTATCTCCAAAGCAAATTCCTCGTACGTGTAAAAAACGACTTGGCAATAAAGCTCTTTCTGATTTTGATTCTGATTGTGATTTATTTGTTTATTTAACAAATTGATTCATATTTGGAATTATAAGTTGACTGTATTCACAGCTGGATGTAAACATTTATGCAGTTTATTGTATTTAGTTGTTACTGTCATTTGTATTCGTCATATGTATATGTATAAGTTTAGCTGCCTAAAAAAATATAAGATACTAAAGGATATTTGTAACATTACATTCCAGCTACCTAAATGAATTAAGCATTCATTAGCTGTGTAAGTGTTAATGGTCAAGTTGGAAATGCATAGTGGAGTCAGAATTTTACTCATCATATAATGCACGATTTGTCTTTAACAAATGGAGGTTGTGTAGATAACGGGTAGATAAAGAGGTCTAGAGGAATTTAAATTACGTCTGGAGTGTCTGATCAAATAACGAAAAAGCTATTGATGAAAAAACAGGTCATAAATATCACGAGTTTTGTTAGCTCCGGTTTTATTTTAAAGTTGTCTGCCTCTGGTGTTGTTGTCTGAACTTTGCTTCTTGTCTGTGCTGATTGTCTGAGTGTTTCCGCCTGTGTCAATCACCGTGCCCTCTCTGTCCTGTTTATAAGTCTGCTGTATTCTTATTGTTGATTGTCAATCGCCCACGTTCTATAGTCAAGTGGCCCTGTCTAGCGTCTGTGTTTCCTGCCTGTGTTTTGGATTATGGATTGGCTGCCCATTGGATTTGTTTGCTTTTGTTGGACTGCTTGCCTGGTATGACCCTTGCCTACCTCAACTCCGAGTAAGCTTGATCGCCTTTTGTTTTTCCAGTTAAATAAACATCACTAACTGTACATGCTTGGCCTTAGTGTCTGTGTTTGGGTTTCCTGTGTCTGTGCTTGGCTAAACCTGTCAATAATAGGTTTTTGGTATATATTGAATTATTTGTTTAAAAAAAGATGTGTGCATTTAATAGGAGGCAGTTTAGATGAAAATTTAATGTCTGGACAACTCTATTTGTCTGTCTCTCCATTGTATTAACCATTTTTCTCAACCCCCCACCCCTGCCAGGTGGACACTTCCCTGGTACACTTTGTGTGCAGTGTTGTAGCTCGTATCCTGGCCTTCACCAACTCCTGCCTCAACCCCTTTGCCCTTTATCTGCTGAGCAAGACCTTCCAGAAGCAGTTTAACCAGCAGCTGTGTTGTTGTTGTCGTAAGATCCTTAAACACTCCTCGCAGAGCCTGACACATTATAATACCCGTGTGACCTCCGTCCGCAGTACACATCACTCCATAGCCAGTCTAAGCATGATGAATGGCAGACGGGTCCATCAAGAGGATTGTGTGTAAGGGAAGTGTATTTGTTTACAAAACACTGTGATCATAACAACCTTACATAAAGATATATAGTTGAATTGTTGTTTGGGGACTTGGGACAGACATTTTTATGATGATTATAAAAAGAACTGCCAGAATCAAAGCAGAATACCCTGATATATATCCTGACACTGACTGATTAGTATTGGTCAAACTCCAAAAACACTGAACCCCATGTCCTAGAAAATTAATTTACACATATAATACTAATTTGCTTTCCTGATTACGTCTTGATGGTAATTGCTGTCTAGATTATGTTCACAGGCCACCTTATTTTCCAGTGAACAAGGTGTAATATTTCTGTACCACATGGTTGTGATAAGGCACCACGTGTCCCGTGTGTGTAGATTTAGGCAACAAACACACTTTGGTTAAGGTTAGGGAAAGATGGAGGTTTCGGTTAGATGTTAATAACCAGTCATGTCTTGTGATTCAAGTTACTCAGGACTTCTGTTAAAACCAAGTGTTAAACCAAGACAATCTTCCTCCAAGCTTAACAATGGTGAAAATAGCAAAAGACAGCTAGATTTTGAAAGTATCTAAACAAAAAAAAAATCCTCCATTCAGACCTCCCTCCAACGCCACTTCCCCAAAACACATTTTCATGTGCAGTGAGTGCACGGGCAGAGTGCGCGCAGATAGGTAGGTAGGTTGACAGGTAGTAGGTAGGTTGAGTGGTAGGTAGGCCAGCCAGTCATTTCATTCTGCTCAAAGCATTTGATTTATTGATTGCTGACTAAACCTGAAAGAAATCATCAGGGCTATTTTTTTAGATTTGGCAAAGCTCCTCCAGAACAATCAACTGTTGTCACAGGCTGAGTAGTCGTCCCCATGACAACTTAACTGCCCACCCTGTGTAGAACTTGTGGACTATCCCTTTGAGGGTACCACCCAAGCATACAAATTCTGACACAAGTGATAATTGGATAATTGGGATAGATTTTTTCTTCTGTGAACAATAATCATCTCTAATGAAGCTACACATAGAGTATTTAAGGAAGTGAAAGACATAGTTTTTGTAGAAACCAGCATTAGTCTTTGGAAAAGGCAGAATTGGAGCGAGTCACCCCTTTAGTACCAAGACAATACCACTTCAAGGATAGTAAAATAACTTTTATATGATAAAGACAATGATGTTGCCAAAAGTTAAAAGTTTCATCAGTGTGTTCTAATGTGTGGTATAATTTTATATTGGTGTATAATATTGATGGATGATATTCTGCCTGTGCCCTGTTTCTGTATGTGTCTAATATTTCAAAATGTTAGATGCTGTGATAACTGTGAAATCTGAACTGTACCAGATGTGTATTTTAAATATTAGTTGTCCTCTGGTTACAGAATGTTTATTGAGCTGTGTTGTACAGTGTGAAAAATGGACAGTGAAGGTAAATGCATGTATTAGAAATCACATTTGTAATTTGTTATAAGAATGTGTGTTTATATTTTTTGTAGTTGTGTGTGTGTGTTGACACAGTTAACAACACACAGTTAAATTGGCAGAGCATCAATGTTTAGCTTAAACGTATTGCACCATGCATTTCTCTTCACCGACAGAAGAAAAACTATATAAAATGTCAAATAAGTGTGTAGTATATCCCTTTCTTTAATATATTGCATAGTGAAAGTGGATCCTCATATGTATCTTTGTACTGTGGTTATCTTTAGACTCTTAGTCCTGTTGACTATGTATATACCACAGTGTTTCTGCACCACTGCATTCACTGGACATGATTATTCTACACTGTCACATGCTAGATTTACAGTCACTATATCACACTGCAATGTCCTAATTTGGTGTTTCACAGAAGGAGAGGAACATGCCCAGGTTGTGATGAGTGGGTGCATAATTCAGTCTGGATAGTGTTTGTTTAATTGTGGTGTAAGCTCCTTGCCAAATGTCTGTCCTGCGTGGTCTCAACCGTCTACTTAACATGTCATCTTTATGGTCAGGCTCATTCCGTTGAAAGTGTGGACTGTAAATAAGGATTACTTACTATCTTTTCATTTAAGGAATGAAGGACACACACATTAAGACTAATAAAAGCACATTAACACGTGTTTGAAATTCCTTTCAAAAATTCCTACAGGAATCCTGCAAAAAAATTTAAAGGTTACTTTATTCTTTCATTCATAATAAAGGAATTCTGTCGGAATTAACACAGAATTCAGTATACATCCTACAAGAAGATTAATCCCGCATAATTGCTCTTGACGTCATGCAGGAATTATTTTGCTTTGATTGCTTTGATAGTCTCTGCATGATGCCAGAAATAATTACAACAGAAAATATAACAAGTACATCAAGTATAATGATTTCTGTAATCAATCAAATTCATTAAGTGTCTACAGATCCCTTCCAGTCATGTTTTAAGATATATATAGAACGATATTAAAGCAATAAAACAGGATTATTGTGTTATTTATGGTGGTATTTATGGTGTTTCACCATGTGTGACCAGTACATACAGTTTGGTCTCAGTCAGTCAGTTCAGTCTCATCCTTCTATTGAAACACAGATATTTAAAAGTTTTCCTCATAGACATCTCTCAGTGAACAGGGCCTTAAGATTCAGTCTCAACAGGAGGAAAGAAAGTAAAAGCAAAAACACTTCCAGCCCTCCTGAACCCCTCACACAGTCACTTTAAAGGTCAGTGTTGTGCATAGGTGTTCTGCCTGTTCACTGAGCACAGTATTGATCCATATGTGGCTGGTGGCCTTGTTACATTTGTGTACCAGGCTAGGAAGCATCCATCCATCTACCCATTTGTTATACAGTCAGCCCAAGCCCAGCTAACATTAGGCGAGAGGCGGGTTACACACACCACAGGTTACCAGTCAATCCCAGGGCTGACACATACAGATACGGAGAACCATTCACACCTCCGCTTGCCCCATATAAAAGCAACCAAATGTAAAGTCTCAGAAGCATGAAAGGACATCAGAGGAATGAAATGTCATGATGTTTATTGTAAATTTAGAGAGCAACATATAACATAAACAACTTCCCATACTAATGGTCTCATTTCCATTTCAGATGGAAATATTAAGTTAATATCTTAGCTGTTTTTAGGTCTTCTGGGTTACATATTTTACACATTAGAAGGATCCATTTTCACTTAGGCAGGCATTAAATCAATCCAACAACCTTTATTTCAATATAATTTGAATTCAAACAGATTTTTACTACCCTCTTTAATTTATTTAGAAACACTAAATAAATATGAACAACAATTAAAGTAATTATAAGAATTCTTTTTGTTAATTTCTGTGGATTTTGTACTCAGGAACTTTCAGATAATGCCTGCGTTGGACTAAATTTTCACTCTTTCATTTTGATGTTTTGTATGTTCAATTGCACTATATAAAAGTAGTATTAGCAAAGATGAGATGATTACATTAAGGACAAAGAGTAACAGGCTTGAATAATGCAAAGTTAATAAGATAAAATGGCTGTGGTATATTCATTTTCTTTGTTACATAACATTATTGTTATTTGGTGGCTTAGAAGTCTTTACAAAAATTTTATGATCTGCAGACCTTAATAGGTTTGTTGCTGTTGGTTGGAATGAAAAAAGAAGACTTCCTTAAAGAAATCCATTTCATGATAAAGCACATACTATTTTCATTTCACTGCTGCTTTGGGGTAAAAATTACAGATGTCTTTTGTGCAATTTAATGCCCTGTAATATGCAACTGTGTGTTCCTGACTTCCTGAGATATGGCTATTTCTGGCTATTTTGCACACCTTGGAGACAACCTCTTAAACTCCTCTTGGGTTCTTACATCCTCTGCAAACATTACTGTTTTTTCAGACTGGGCTTCAGTGAGCCCAATTGTATTTATATGTGATTATGTTAATGCCCGTAGTAGCCATTAAATATGCAGTGAGACCATTTTTAAAACTTGACCTGACTGTACTAAAATTACATTTTGTGACTCAATACATATTCCTGCCAATGGCTTCACGCTATTCCACTGATCTACAGGTGGTGGTAACACACTAAGATAAGATCCAATGTGCCAACAAAGGCAAGGAAGAAGACTGCAATCTAGGATTTAAAATACATCTAAAAATTGGCTTTGCAAATGTATTGATAGGAAGGAAATCATTTTAACATGATTGTTTGACTTCAAGGATACACACAACGCATTTTGTTGAGTAACACTGAATGTAAACTGAATTTGTTTATAAAAAAAACTCCACAGGGTATCTTTAATAGATTGCTGCCTCCATTAAGTACTTTATTTCTGTTTATGGAGATCAAGTCTCATATTGTAGATTAACCTCTGAGTCTCATATTTATGTCATATGTTCAATTAATGCCTGCTTGTTTTCCCCCTTCAATAAAATGAATAAGTGCAAGCCAAAGAAACATGAATTTAATCTATTAAATTGGGATTTTAATCTTTAGCATTTTGGAAATTATAAACGCAGGGATGGATTGTTTGTTGTTGTCTACGCTCCAAGTAACAGCAAGGAGCAGTGAGAAAACAGGAGTACACAAACAGTGCAGCAAGGGGGAGACAAAACTCCTTGTAACTACAGGCCTGTTCAGCATTTTTTAACATCACATAATCTCAGATACTGAGCAAAATTTAAACTGTAATAGTAATAATATGTTTGTTTTATTCCCACTAGGACAGATGAGTAGTTAAAGCTCAATCCCAGGAGGTGACAGACACTTTTTATTCTGACCTTGTTAATGGCCTGTGCGGCTCCCCAAGGTAGGGTGGGGCTGTCATGACAGAGGAGGACTTTAATGTTTGCATTTTATTGATCAGCAGCACTGCCAGGGGAAAAAAGGAAGGAATACCAGACTGGAAATCAATACATTCACCAAGCAACGACAGTAAATGAAGCACATTTACAAACAACACACCTGTTTTATGTGAAGCCGTGTTTACAGTCTACTCCGTCTTCAAAAAAGCTGCGTAGTTCCTCCTGCAGGTCTTCAAACATTGTTAGAGAAGATGGAGCTTCACCTGAAAGCTCAAATACTTAAAATATAACATATCAAATACAAAACACATAGAGGCGTAGATTTCTATCTTCTCTGCCACCATCTGGCTAACAAAAGATTTTCATGTATTGAATTGATAGCAATACAGCAGCAAAACAGCTGCTTCTACAATGTCTATGAAAAGTACATAAAAGTATATTTAATTGTCTTAAATCAACAGGAAGGAAATCCTTTTAAGTGAAAACAGATCTCTACAAAGTGATCTCAATTAATGACAAATACGATATGCAAAATGCTTGTTTGAAACAGTGTTCACACCTTCAAGTCAGTGTTTCGTCATGCACCTTGGCAGCAGTTACAGCCTTGAGTCTGTTTGGATAGGTCTCTATCAGCTTTGCACATGTGGACACTGCAATTTTCCCTGCTCTTCTTTGCTACTCCAGCTCTGTCAGGTTGCATGAGGATCATGAATGAACAGCCACAGTCCAACCACATTATTCTTAATTGAGACATGGATTCTGACTCAGCAGCCACTTGAAAACATTGACACTGTTGTTTTTAAGGCATTTCTTGTTTGGCTTTGTCGTTATACTTGGAATCATTGTCTTGCTGAAAAAGAAATCGCAGCAGTTCTTGCAGACTGCATCACATTTTACTCCATATTTTGGTGTATTTATTTCAATTTCTACCGTCCACAAGCCCTCCAGACCACTTACTCACAGGCGATCTCCTGATTTAATCATGTGGCTGCACCAACGATGACCAGCAATGTCCTGTTAAAGGGAGTGAATAATTAGGCAAACAACTGTTTTGTGTTTTACATTTGTAATCAATTTAAATTCTCTCTGGGTCTCTGTAAATAATATTACAAAGAGCTCTATGAAAGGTTTAGTGAGATAACTTCTGTTATGAATTGGCGCTGTGTAAATAAAATTGAATTGAATTGAATTCAATCACTTTGTAGAAATCTGGCTTTACTTTGACATTAAATTATATTTTTCTGTTGGATCAGAGTCACAAAAGCAACATTTACATAATTTAACATTAATGTTTGATTCAATAATAAAACAATAAATAAAACATGAAAACAGGGAGGGTTAAAACATTCCATAGACTGTATGAAGATTAACAAACAGTAGAATATTGGTGAAAAGTCCATCAGAAGTTAAATAAATCAAAGCAAGTTCAAATTATAAAAATAATCCTTTAATGTAAACTACATATTCAGTGCACAAAGAACACATGTACAAATCATACACTTTATACATTGATTGAAACATAAAGTAGGCTTGTTAAAGAAATCAATGAACATGGTCATGTGAGTTAATATTATCTTAATTAGTTAAAGTGATCAGCATAAATAGGACTGTAAATAAATTATAAGCCTTTTTTCTCTGCCTCCAAACATACTTGGCGAGCAGGTTGTCCTAATGTATTCCCCCCTGGACTTCTACTTGGGCTATTTGCATCTGTAAATAAAAGAAAGAACATTTAGAATTGTAAAATATACATGAATTCAGACACTAGAGAGCTCAGAAAGTACCGCTCTGCCAGCCTTCACCCTGGATGAAGCTGAACTCAGCACAAGTTGTAGAAACTGATCACTTTGTTTATTCAGTTCATCGTGCATGTCTAAGTAGCTGCTGGGAACTTTCATGTACCTTATACTGGATCCTCTTATTTTTCTTCCTCTCCCTTTTCCTATTTCCCAGCACCTGTTTAATAATAAACTTAACAAATTTCCATTTTACTTGTTAACACGGGCATGTCAAAGTGTGTCTTTTGTAATTCTAATGCCAATGTTGAGTACAGACTAGAGCATTTAAAAAAGTGGTAACAAACAGGTTCTTTGTGGCTTACCTGCAGGAGGCTTTATCGAAATGTTGATGCTTGTAGGCACAGATGGAAGTGTTGAGTTGACAGCGATGGGCTGGTCTTGGTTGGAGAGTTGGCACAGGTCTAGGAGGACAGTCACAGCGCTCCACGTCTATCTCACAGTCTGGCATCCATGCACTGAGTGGTAAGTCTAAGCAGGAGGTATTAATGGTGCATTTCAGGCACAAAGACAGGATAAATAAAATAAATTACTTTTCATCTTGCCAGGTAAAATCCATATGATAATATAAATCAGTTTGGCAATGCCTTGACAATGAAATTATTGTCTGTTTACGGTGTTGAACATCGTAATTCAGTAATGCTAACTTTTGCTAATTAGCACAACACACAAAGTACAACTGAGGCAGATAGCGATGTCGTTAGTTTTACAGGCATTTGGTCATAAACCAAAAATTATTAGGATACATCCTCAAGAAACTATGAATGTCTGTTCCAAATTTTGTGCTAATCCATCCCATATTTCCTGGGGTGCATGTTTTAAGTACAGTTGGCGCACATAAAAATGAACACTAACAATCTTTTGTGCACTTTTTTATAAAGCTGGTTCATTTACTTGCACAGACACACACACACACACACACACACACACACACACACCTGGTGTACTGGAAGGGTAAGGTATGCATCTGTCAGTTGAACAATCCCAAATCAACCCATTGGCACAAAGTCTCCTGAAGTCATCTGCCTCAGACAGCTGGCCCGTCGGAGAGCAGCTGCCAATGAACCACATAAAGAAAAGAAAATCATACCAAATTCAGTTGAGAAATAAGATTGACAAAGGTTTTGGACTTACCCGCTGCTGCTGTAAGGTTGAGCATTACGTCGTATTATGGCAGGCTCCATGCACCCGCACTCTGTATGATTAGCCACTTTTATTAGCACAGGTTCTGGTACAAACTTGAATGGGATGACACTAAGAACCTGCAATGCACACACACACACGTGCGTGCGCACACACGCACGCACACAACACACACACCACACACACACACACACACACACACACACACACACACACAGTCATTGGTGTATTGTGTGTGGAGTTTTTGACCCCTGAAGACTAGTGGTACTTTTGCAATACTTAAACTTCCAAAAAGATCTAAATCTCCACGTATCATCTCAGATTTTGGTCACTCACAGTTTTATTCACATAAACAGTAGTTGTGTTTCTGCATGTGATCCCCTCTTGATTGCAGCAGCCACTGCACCTGTCAGTAAGAAAACAAATTCACATCTGGGTAAAGTGATTTGCATGGCAAACAACTATCCAGCTCCACTGAAAGTCCCATACAGCTGTAACTGATAGGAGTGTTAAAGGAATAGTTAGACATGCCCATTTGCTTTCTGAAATGAGAAGCTCAACACCATGCTCATGCCTGTAGAATAAATTTATAGCTACAGACAGCAGATTAGTTAGCTTAGCACGGCTAGCATGGCTCTGTCCAAAGGTAAGAAAATCATCCTAATAATACCTCTGGAGCTCGGCAAGAAACTCTCAGCATTTCCAAAAGTGTTCCTTTAACAATATGCTTAAAAGCATATCGAAACAGCTTTACACATAAATGATAAATGATCATAAAGGGATTTGTTGCACCATGTTAAACATTGTGTTTGACAGGTGCTTGTTGTTTGGGACCTGTTTCAACATTTGCTTGCACAGCAGCATAACTAAGAAGTTTTGTCAGCTTGAGTGTTAGGTACGAAGTGGGGTTCTGGATCTGGTTTGATGATAAACAAACCTGTGGATGGACACACAAGGTGGCTTGAAGAACATTGAAGGGTCTGTGCCGAGCTCCTTGGCCACGTCGATACATGTTTCCCTTGGCATGCACTGAGTCCGCTGCCACTCTTCATCTATGGCTAATGAGAGACACACAATGTTCACAACCACATCAACACACACTCACAGACTTGAGCAACATATACTGTATGTTTTATCCAACCTTTAAGAATCTCCAGGCTGTAAGATTCTGCAGCGTAGCGTGTAGAGCGGTGTGAGCCCACTGAAGGTGGAGGAGAAAGGGTTTCTGGCTGCTGCAGTCTCAGTCGACACTTCCACAACTTCCAGTCAGGAAAATCTGTGAGCCTCAGCAGCTCATCCAGGCTAGATGATGACCGCACCTTCCTTTCCCACTGCTTCATTACCTGCAGGCATCATAGTCAATCATCTTTTGATGTGTCACATAACACACAACAACAAAAAAAGTATTCTTTGTTGGTCAGTATCACTTGTCATTTTGGGATGGAAATTCTGTTTCCCTCAAAAATGTGTAACTTACTTACTTAAAAACTGCAATGAGTACAATTGCAGCCTTTTTGACAAGTTGGTGGCATTAGTGAAGAGTACTGAAGGCTTATTGAAAAACATGCACACCCCCTGACTTTAACTCTAGGGCCACCACGACGTTGACCTTTCTGGTTTTGAGTGAAATGCTTTGACGGATTGAAATTTGCTGCAGATATTCAAGGTCCTTTAAATATGAATTGCAAAGACTTAACTGTTCTTTTAACACCATCAGGTAAAAATTTCCCAATTTGCCCAATAATTTGGGGCCCAATTTGCCACTGAGATGGAAACAAATGATCCGCTGTGGCGACTCCTACAGGGTACAGCAGAAAGAAGGAGAAGCATACTAACATGCTAAACTCAGATGGTGAACCAGGGCTGTGTCTGAAATCACTCAACTCATTGACTACTCTGTCCCCTAAGGGTACACGCCGAGAATATTTTGGAGGATTACTTTTGCGTTACTGAGTTGCAATATGTTTTGCGTTACACCACAATAAATTTTGTGTTCTCTTGCAATACTTTTACATTACCTCACAGTCCTTTTCTTCTTCCATTCCCTCTGAGCCATAGCTGTGTCTTTTTCCACTCAGCTGCTCCCAGCACAATGCACCAGTATGGATACTTCATTGAACTTTGAACTGCTCATTACCAGTGCTGGTAGTACTACTACTCGATTGGCATGGTTATGTAATTAGTTAAAGTAAACATAAACAATGATTGAAGTGGGCTGGTACTTGACAGTACTTCTACATTTAGCTATAACTTGACTTTTTCTTGCACACTGGCCCTTCTCCCAAGACCCATCTCTCTCGAGTCTGTCTTGTTAACCTAGCTGGGCAGAGGATCTCTTGGTCTGTCTGAGTCTTGTTTACTTGTCAGCCACTTCCAGTGCTCTGTTCTGTGACTTTGAGTGAAATACAACTATCAGTGTTTATTAACATGAGTTCATGTGCACATGCACAAAATTAAACTCAGTTTAAAACAAGACAATGATTATCTAGTCTCTTAGTCAAGGTTACAACTCTGGACTGATGCAAGATGGAAAGCAATGGATTTACATTCACTATTGATTCCTCTCCTCTGGGATGATCACAACCCCCACCATGGTGCCTGGTCTGGTTTGACTGCTATTGAACAGTAGTACTAATATCAGCACAGTTAATGTCCAATTCAAATAAATATTAAGCATTTAACAATTATCTTGTGAGGAAACCCAAAAGTATGTATCCATAAAATTTTCGCTGTGACCCGAGGACTTAATTGTTTAATCAATAGTACGGAGGAACTTGACATTTCTTTTCAGTCGTTATTTTTGTGATTTTTTGTTTTGCACCATATTATGGATAAATGTCACACTTATCTATACACCAAAGATAAAATAGCGGAGGGGAGTGCACTATTTAGTAAATAAGGACTGATTTTGGACATGTTAGCATTGTCACTGTGAGTGTGTTTGCAGTTTGATGTTTGCATTTAGCTCAAAACTGTGTTGTGCCTAAGTACAACCTCAACGAGCTGCTAAAGTGGCTGGAGACTTTTTAAAAAATATTCAAGCAAAATCAAGCAAGTAAACTATCATAAACTGAACTGGGTAAACATTAAAGCATTTATATCTACATTGTGTGCATAATTTCTGCAATCTACAAACATGTACCTTACACTGAGGCTGAGTTGATATGACATTTGTTGTAGTTTGGAGTGACTTGGAGCACTTGGCCTGATGTCACACCGATTAGTCAGAGTGTGATTATCAACAGCTGCAGCAGCAGATTTGTGTCGGCTCCAGTCTGCGTCTATACCTCTCTGTCTCTGAACACTGCTCATTCGGAAGTCTCATGACCCTGCTACCAAGGACTATGCATTTTTATACAGAAAAAGGATTAAAACCCAGAACATAAAAATAGCACTTTTAATATCAGCATGCACTTTGAGAGAAGGCAGTAGTACCATCCACTTAAACGCACGTGTATCATATGTGCACACACTGACACACATATTAAAGTTCAGATTATCCTTGGCAAAAGCTGTGATTCAGGGGTGGGAAAAAAAAACATAAACCCTCCTGTCATGCTTGTCAGCCACATTACAAAATTCCCATGATGACATCCTACAGAACAAAGGGATGCAGAATAGATTAGATCTTTATGGTTTTGGATAAGACACTGGATGTTAAATGCAGAGTCCAATACTTAAGTTTTTCTATCTTATACTTCAATGTAATATTTTGCACTAAATTCAAACTGATGACCAATGTAAAATGTTTTAGCTGTTTTGTTTTTGTTTTAACGCAACAGGGGAGAGGAGTTAAAATTTTGGATTATCCAGGCTCATTTTTGAAGCAGGAAGGCCAAAGCCTGATACCGGATGGTAGGTCTACAACCAGGGTGGAGGCGTGTCAGAGAAGACAGTCGTGAAATATTGCACTTGTCTGCACAATGTTTGCTTTATGTCCTCTGGACAGCTGTAACGATCTGAGCCCTCTGATGTGTTCAGTGTGTTGCAGAACGGAGGGTGGGGTAGGTTGGCTGGCTCACTACTTCCACTTAAATCAGAGCAACAACACACAACAGGGAGGTTTCCCCTCCGCAATTTCTACCCACTAGGTAGGGGAGAGACCCACTAATAAGAAACAGAGAAGGGAGAATGCCTGAGAGAGGGATGACAGAAATTGAAAGGGAGGTAAAGATGGAGGGAATTTAAAAAAGAAACTGAGCGGGTAGAGACAGAAATTATGGAGATTAATGACAGCAAACCTAGAAAAACGATTTCAGTTAATTAAGAATGAAGAATTTGAGTGGTTCAATAATCCCTCTAACCAAGATACGATGATGACTTGCAGTTCCTCTTTTACCCACACACAAGCGCACACACGTTTACTGTCAGTTGTGGTTTCAGTGGACAGAACACGGAGCACATGTGAGTGTACTCCACTCACATGTGCTCACTGCGCACATCAGCAGCCACTTCGGAGTGAGGTTTATGAGATAATAAGAGGCCACACAACACTGCAAAAATGAATGAAATCGAGTCCTGAATGCATTAGGGTTATTTAAGGGCAATGCAGTGTTTTAATTTTTGCTCTCTGGACAATGTTATATAATAAGTTAAAATTATTTTAGTACCAAGTGGAACAAAATCTGCCATTATACATCAGCTACAAAAAGCAGCAAATTGCAAGAGGCTTTTTACATTGCTGCTTTGATACATATCACATACACTTAAAAGTTTCACGCCACACTTACCCTACTTGTACCCTCTCTGTGCATGCTGTGGCCCACGTTTATCCAGCTCAGCTCCACCACCAGAGTCACCAAGCAGGAGATTCTGCAGAGTGTCCGTTTCGTCTTCATCATCATCCCTTGACTCTGCCCGCTTTCTCTGAGAAGCACTCAGCAGTTATGAACTTTTCTCCTTTTCCTGCTGACAGAAAGAGCTGGCTGCCTCTTTGACTCCGTTTCCCAGACCAGCAGAGTCCCTCAGACCACACACACTCAGTCCTCTCAGTGCAGGTATGTGCAATAGAAACTCTTGATCTTCCAGCTGCACAGTAGAGAGTGGTTGTGTCTCGAAGCCAGACGTAACCTGTCACAGCAACCCAGACACCCACTAGCCAAATGGAGGAGGCTAAAGAGGCTTTAAAACATGCACCTCTTATTGCAGAGGCTTTGATGCAGAACCAAAGGTGTCCAGTTTAATAACAAGGCTACTAGAAGTTAGAAGCTGGAGATTACCTCTGAAAAAAGAAAAGTCAGGATGACCTTGAATACTTCTTGTCAGCACGCTCTCTTTTGTCCAATTGGTTGAAGGCCTGTGAGAAATTTCAGGACCTCTAGGGAGATGATCTGAACAAACTCCTCTGTGTCCTCTTTTCTTCTTTATATTCCCACCTCCTGAAAAGGCTGCTCACTTCTGGCTTCCATTTAACCGCTAATTTCAATGGCTACAATATCTGTATGTTAAACTTCCCCTCTGTCAGTCATCAGTTCTCCAGATCCTGCTGTGGTTTGTCCACTTAAAAAGGCCCTGAGGTGCAAGAGTAGCCACACAATTCCTTCCTCTAATACGTGGGCTAATTCTGAAAAAGCTCTGAGAAACTAGTTTGTCTGTCTTGGTGCCTGCCCTTATGTATCTCCCACTGATGCTGCTTCTGCTGCCTCAAAGAGCGATTTGTATTTGCTTGTGTGTTCCCGTTTTCCCTTTTTAATGTTGGTTTGTCAAGTGATCGAATCCCCAGCCTGTTAAATCCCTTATCAGTGTCTTTTCCTCTGGAGTTGCCAAACCGCACACAGCCGAAGAGCAGTAACATGTGTTTTAAATGTGATCCAGACTTCCGTAACGTGTGAGGGGAAATAAGATGCCAGCACCACCCCCTTCCCTACCCTGACACCCCAACCCGCCCATCCAGGCCTATTTGACCGAATCTGCAACCGGAACATAATCGAGGAAACATGAGTATAATATTTATGATTTGTATGCAAATGAGGAACAGCAGCTTCGGCATCTTTTCTATTATCTGCTTATAGTAATTGAGAAACATGCAAAACCTTTTTTAAACAATATTTTAATGTGATCTGGAGAGAGGGTAAACTACTATACTGCTAACACTGGAGCATGTTGTCCACTCCCGCATGAAGCACTTGGACACGTAACAAGTTAAAAAAGACACTGAAAAGTACTAAATGTTCTGTAAACACATACAGAACATATCCTGATATAACCACTATACCCAATACTCATTTTTAAACATCAAAACAAGCACCCTTGGGCGAATAAGAGACTGTAGCAACAAGGTAATATTTACTCTATTTTCATTTCTTACTTCCTGTTGTGCTATCACTTTGCACTTTACTGAGCAATTTACTAGAAACTGAAGGCCAGCTGAGCAATCACAAACAACTGGGTGTGTGTCTCTGACCCACCCACTGAAACCACCCTTTTGTCTTGTTAATCCGGAGGGCAATCAGAGTACTTATACTCCTGCTGCACTCATTTTCATTTCTTACTTCCATGTTGTGCTATCATTTATTCCTGCTCTTACTATTTTTTTTGTCACTCGTAGTTCGCTTACTGCACTGATTGATTGATGCTTGTGTGTTGTTCCTCAAATGTAAGTTGCTTTGGATAAAATCGTCTCCCAGATGAGTAACTGTAAATCCTTCTATAGTAGCAAACAAGTAAGGTAAATATATTCACCACGGACAGACAGACGGAGTACAATACATAATGTTCAGAAAGAGTTTCTGATCTTGGACCTCCAGTTTTCGGCCCTTTCAAAGCCATTTTTGCCAGTCTGATAGTCCCTTACAGCCTCTCTGATCTCTTCTTCTGTGGTCATTACAAATGGACCTGAAGGGAAGACACAACACAGGAACGTATTAGATTACAGATATTCAGATATAAGTTCTATTTGTGATTTTTGAACCACATCAAGCATTTCTTTTTGCAGTGACTTGTTACCAGCATGGACGGAATAACACAAATTATATACCATGTTGTACCACAGGCTCTTTGATTGGCTCTCCAGCAATCAGCACAAAATGGGAAACCTCAGAGCTCTGTGGAGGAAACAAGAGGCAGTGCTATCATTATCTGTATCTGTGTGTTAAGTGGACTGACCCCACATAAAATAAATCCGTGGGGTCACAAGATCATTAAATTTTTTCTGACTTTTGGCTAAGCTTAGATTTTTACTTATGTAATACTGGATATTTTCACTGTTAGGGGGCCTCTTAAAAATTTCATATTAAACCATCTGGTTAAACGAGGCAATGGCCTGTGAGGGTGAGTAGAGTTGCTCCACTTAAAGGGGTTACAATGCAAGGTTGGGAATCACTGGTCTAAATCAGAGGTGGATCAAAAAAGTAGAGCTGAAAAAAAGTTGAATCAATCTGATTAATTTGGGAACAAAAAACAATCTAGTATGCTTGATGTAAGCTAGACTACTTAGATTTAAGTTAGCAATATTTAATGAGACAGTAAAACTAAATTTCAAGTACAAGATGGACAGACCATATAGATTGTTAAAAACATGGACGTAGTCTTTGTGACTGAGTAATTGTGAAGCTCCACCTGCCACGGCACTGACCTGTCACTCAATGCTGCCATGCCATTTCTATGCAGAACTTTAAGCCTTATTATTATTTAAATTGTGTTATATAAAAATTCACCCTCTGTACAGTTGCCATGAATGGGAAAATTTGTTATAGAGAGAGACCAAAAACATTTTTTGTATATTTCTGCTGTAAAGTTGGGCATTTTCACATGAGGAACTATGGGGTTTGACTCGCTTCTGGAGCCAGCCTCAAGTGGCCATTGGAGGAACAGCAGTTACTGGCTCTTCTGCATTGGCTTCATTTTTCAGCTCTGGAGGTTGCTGCTTGGGACAGACTTAACATGGAAGAAAAGAAATCAAATGAAACTGGAGAATTCCCAGGGTGTGTTTACCCACTCCACGACATCTGGAAGTACAAGCCTAAAAACAAAGATCCATCTATAAGAGCAACGTCAAAATCCATCATAATTCTGAATGGTGGCAGGAAACCAAAGCTGACATGAGGCGTACTGAGGGATTCCACAATGGATACCTGAGAAGTCTATGTGGCATTTTCTGGCCTAACACTATTACCTTGGAACAGAAAAAACAAAGACATTAACATCATCACTGACATAAGGAAGAGGAGTCTAAGATAGGCAATGTGTTTCCGATAGCGGAAATAGAGCATCTCGTCGCCTGTCTTGGTTGCTTGCCAGACTTTGTGTCTGAACAATGTTGTATGTGAAATACAACTATTTATTACGTTTGATAAATGCCAACGGGCAATAGTGTTTATAAACTGCAGCTTGGACAAAGTTAACCGTGTCATGAACATTCATTCATACATAATTTTAAAACAAGACAGTGATTATCTGTCTCTCAGTCAAGGTGTAGTTACAACTGTGGACTATTGCAAGATGATGAGCTGTGGACTGACATTGACTATTGATTATTAAAATATTGATTTTTGCAATAGGAATGCACATCTCTCAGTAAATAATAAACATCATGTATTCAGTGAAGTCATGGTATAAATAGTATTTTACCTTTGATATATTAAAAATATATTAATTATTTTTAATAATATAATAATATAGGAAACCTGGGGGAGCCAGTTTCAATGGGCCTGATGCAACTGATCGCATTTATATCCATCAAGTATTATATGTTATATAATATATAGTATAATTTATATACCTAAGTTCATCAGTATATTCTGGATCATCAGCCAGTACATGCACAGTCGATCCACATTCAGACTCAACCAGTACTAGCACAGACCCAGTCCAGACGTATTTAGCAAGTCACACAGACCCATGAAGTACAGGCAGCCTCAGCCAGCACAGCCAGAGATGGACAGCCAGCATCAGATACAAGCAGCTCAGACCCTAATGGGACAGTTGCTGCTCCACCAAATGATCCAGCATATTGACCCGCAATCAAAACAGACTTTATGAGGACTGAGTTAGGGCGTAGAGATCCATTCAAACCAGCACTAAATCTTTCTAGAAGAAGTTTCCATTCAGGTTTATTACAGAGACAGACTCTTTCAAAGGAGGGATGATTGCGGTGAGAGCATTGTGGGTGTCAGGTGTGACTGTGCAGCAATGTCTACATGGCCCACGAGTCAGGTAGGAGGGCCCCGTAGCTAAATTTTGCTTATGGCTCCAGGGAGTTCAGGATCAGCTCGGTCCACAGGTGACGAAGATGATTTAGTAAGTATGCAAACACATCATTAAATCCCAAAAATGACAACAGGGTGTAATATGTTCTGCTTCCAAAGGCGTGGGACCATGTTGGAAAGAAGTTTGGGAAGCACGGGTCTCAATCTTTTTATATACAGTCTATGGTCTCGATAGAGAGAACGTAAGTTTCTCACCTTGTTTTCAACTTTGACACAGTCTCCATCTCCAAACACCACAGTATGATGGGGCTCTACCTTCTGCTGCTCCTCATCTGGGCCTGGAAAACAAAAAAAGTTCACAAATTTGTTTAAACTCTTTTTGGCTGAGTGAGTGGGCTACAGCATTTTCAGATGGAACTACTTCACTACATTTTCAATTTACTTGAGCCTTACTCAACATAATATTCACATTTCTGTCCCACTTACATTTTGACAGGACTTCAATATAATTCAATGTGACAATCCCATGATTTACTGATGTCTTTTATTTGAACTTCATAATGACATTAATTCCAATTAACACTAAGTCAGCAGGCGTCCCGACATTTGCAAACAGGAGTAATGATGTCTGTGAAGATTCATCAAGGTCATAGTTATCTACTGAAGGTTAAAATCAAGGGCAACTAGACTTGGATGAAGATACTTGAAGATGTTTCACCTCTCATCCAAGAGGCTTCTGCAGTTCTGATTGACTGGCAGAAAATCCCAGCCATTCAACCTCTCCATCACCTTGATAACAACCCCACAAAGGGTGTGAGAGGGCAATAAAGTGGAAAATGAGATGAAACATGTTCAGACATTGGTATTTCTGTATAATTTGTCGATCAAATTTTATGTGTAGCATCACAAATCTACTGAGTTTAAAAGAAATATAGGCACCTGTATGTTTCATACATTTTAACCTGGTTTACCACTACGTTTGCACATTGAAACACTTAAAGTACGGACGCTAAATGCTGAGAAAGCCAGACACTTCCACTTGTGGTTAATGCATTCATCGTAGCCAGCTGGTCCTGATTTAGCCAGACTACATGTCGTAGACTTAAGATTCAAATAACTTCTTTAATCTTAGCAGCCATTTTCATCCTCTCGTGTCATCAAAACATCTGCCAGCAATTAAAACCAGACTGAGAGATTCTGCAGTGTAACGTGGAGAGTAATCAAATCAGAATTAAATTTTATGAAAACATAATAAAAGGGGAATTCTGACAGAAAACAACAGATTTCAACAAACCAAGAACGCCTCTGAAAATGAATCCACTGTCTGAAAGGGCTTGCTCTCATGCGAGGGGAATTCCCTGATCACACAATGTCGTCCAATAAGCAGGAAAGGCGGTATTTCACAGTATAATGCCAAACAGCAACACTGATACAATAGGGCGTAGTGAGAACATTTGAGTAAGGTGACTAATATGAAGCCAAAATCTGAAATAATTGTATACACAGTAGCATAACAATTGTTCCAGTGATGTTGGGTAAATTTCAGATTGAAATGGAGTGGTCTAAAGTCTGGACAGATCATAGTGTAGTGACAGTATGAATCCACCAGGCTTTGAAGTAGAACCCATTGGCCTTTTGGATGAACATAGAAGCAAAGTTGCAATTGGACTGAGATCACACACATTTAGAACATAGATATGGCAGCAAGAAGAGCTGGAAGGGAAGTGAGGCAGTGATCAAACACACTGAAAAGAGTGCACATATCCAACTAAAGAATCTCAGTTATCACCCTGGTAATTACTGATTTCTTCTTCTTTTATTAATCTGAAGTGTTCAACAGTATTCATAAGAGAAATAAACTCAAGCTGCAAAGTTCAAATAAAAAAAATGGTGGACAGTGCGTCTTTCTTTTAGTAGAACACTAACCAAACAAAACTCACCGACATGAATGGATCCGGATAGTGTGTAGATGAATGTAGTCCATCCTATCAAACACAGAAATGTTATTTAGAAGGTAAATAATCTTAGAAGAGTTATCTGTGGTAAAACCTGCAATAAAGCTTGTGAGCAAACAGTTGCTAATTTGCACATACAGAAATTAAGGAAAAACGTTATCATATCTCTATTTTTGGTCTCTACCAACTCCAGAGGGAAATATCTGTATCTTTAGCTGCTAAATGTTCACTATGTTCACCAGCTAACTGTGTCTGTCTGCCGTTTGGTGCTGAGTAGGTAGTGTACAGTAGGATTGTTTTGTCTGAAAACAGCTGCCTGCATTATGAGATCAGTGGGAGTGAAACAAAACAGTAAAACTGTTGGCCGGACAGATAAACAACGAGCAGAAACTCACAGTAAAGCTGTGCTTCCTGTCTTTGTGCTAAAAGCTAACTGGCTGCTCGTGGTAGCATCATATTTACCGTACAGACATGAAAGTGGTATAAATCATCTAATTCTCTGTTAGTGTAAGTAAGAGAAAAGCTGGAGTGCAGGCTGTAAGGCACTAGTTGTATTTATCACCAGTCTCCACCTGGAGTGTCGGCCAGAGCACTACTTAAGGCCAGCATGTACAGGTTACGCATTGACTTCATACAGGAAATGAGAGTCATGGAGAGAGAGATGGAAGGATGGTTCAACGTTATTATATTCAGGAGATAAATGTGTGTGGATGTGGTTTCTGTCAATACATAACAAAGAAATCAAAACAATGAGTACAATGCTGTTTGTTACATCCTATATCATACCTCACTATTATCATTATCTGAACAAGAATATGTGAGAATAAACTGTCGAACGTACAACTTAAAAGAGAGCAATATAAACCCCACACCTGTAATTAAGGCCCTCTTAATAGCATAGCAGGCATTTAGCGATCCATTTAAACAGACTACTCTTACACTACTGGCACTCTTTAACACAGACTTTTCTTTAAACATATCCAACATGAAGTATGTCTGTTAGCTAAATAGAAAGGGTCCTTGGGTCAACTTAATACAAAGCAACACACACACACTCATAGAACTGAGGTACGCATATTAACTCTGATCTCCCACTATCGTTTAAAGGGGTACTTTGCGATTCTTATCAAATACACTTTTTGTTAAATTCGACGAATATTTCCTCATGGGTTGGTAGCTCTCCGTTTTTCGTGTGCTCTGAAAAAAAAAATCCGGTTTTCCTACACAGCCCTGGGTCTGTAAATTGAGCACAAACAAAGCTGCTCGGCGCTCGAAGCAGTGGGAGAGAGAAACGTAAACAGCGGTACATTCGAACATGCTGAACTTATTACGGGACTTTAGCTGAGAAGATGGCTGAGAAACAGCCACAGAGGGAAAGTGTGACACAAGTTGCTCTGTTTCTGCTGGACAGCTGAGTAACGTTAAAGTTAGCTTTGCTGTTCCACATAAGCGACAGGTTCAGTATTACTGTCAGGACTAAAGAGGAGCTCCCGTGTGTTGCTGCCAACTGTTGAATAAAGAGTGAAGGAGGTTGGCCCTAAAGTTAGCACTGACTTCAGCCCTGGAGATAAACAGTCGCTCCTGTGCTTCCCAACTCTTATCAGTCACTGTGTTTTTGTAAAAACTATTTCAAATAACTCGCTAGTTTTATTTACTCATCATCAAACAATCGACTTGTAAGCTTACAAGTCGATTGTTTGATGATGTTTGTTCACTAATTGTAACTATTGAAGTTCCTCTCGATAATCCTACCGATAAATAAACTAGACACCGTGTCATAGATTTAGGCTTAGAAAAATATTTAGCTTCAATGCATATTTAAATATTGACAGGCTTGTTGTCACACCTTCTAGAGTGCTGCTAAAACATGCCCTCTTATTGAAGCTAACGTGCTCTCGGGACAGCGGACGTTGTGGATTCTGCTACATTTCAGCAGAATAGGACTGGTTACCAGTGCGCATTCATGAGTTTGTTTATCATATGCAGAATCGCATAGTATCCCTTTAACGGCCTTTAACAGCCATAAAACGTAATTAACACACAAAGTGCATTTACACTTACTTCTGTCATTGACGCACACATCTTAGGAGTACAACACCTTATGGTAGCCTAATATCACGACCCACTAACTAGCTTGCACACAACGTCATGAACACGATGTGGTCCGCTATGACGACGTCACAGACTTATCCGACCTTATCGCTCTCTCAATGTCCCAACTAAAGAACAGAGAATATATAATAAACAATGTAAGAGAAGGTCTTTGGTACAGTAAGAAATCAAATAATCATAGCCTATTTCCCAATATGTCAAACTATTCCATGAGGGTAAAATCTGAAATTACCCCAAACACTTTAACATCAGAAAAAGGAATGCAATATTGTTATTTTTAAGAAAAAAATCACAGATGAGAACAAAGGTTCCCCTCCTGTTGCTGAAAGCTCTCTTTCTCTGTGTCTCTCTTTTGCTCTCTGGTAATGTAAAATGTGGAGCTGTCACATCCGCCAACAGTTTTACAAGGTTAAGGAGCCCTGAGATGTTTGTCAGAACTGTAAATGTCTGCTGATAACCCTTTTATCCACATTTCTATTACTTCTTCACAGTCTCTGAAAACCTAGAGTGAACCTTGTGTATACTAACCTATAGGCCTGTCCTTGTTAACAGAGCCTGTAAAATGCAAAACACAATATTCTACACTAGTAATAGTGTGGTGAAATATTCTGAATTACTGTGGATTGTAACTTGTTTGAGAACCTCTTAATCTTATGAACATGCAGGCACTGTGGTCACAAGTGGTAATTGAGGATAATGATAAATGCTTAAACATAAACACATGTTAGCACAAGTAGAGTGGAGTTATGAAGTAGCATTTAGAGTAATATCCATATTAAGGTACCCTGTGGTGTTTTTGACCACTAGTATCACTATAAAGCACTGTTTTTCTAAAGTGGGTTTCAGTTTTGTTTGTACACAAGGACACACATGGATGTACACAAACGTGGGAAATTTTGTGAAGTAACACTGAATGTAACTCAAAACTTTGTTCATTTACAAGAAAACTCCACAATGCACCTTTAAGCTTGCTAACAGCTAATTTTAGCCACCAAAAGCAACTGATCATACAAGACAAAGTCAAGCTTTAACATCAAAAGCCCAGAGTGCTCTGTTATGTTACTAAATATCACTCATTGTTCTGTTTCCTGACACAAGAGGACAACATTCACTTAGGTTTGTGGTAAACACGACACTTCAGAGTGCATGTATGCTTCCAGTAACAGAGCATAAAGAGAGCAGTGAGGGGAGATGGGTGAAGATTGGTCGCAGCCCAAACCAACCAACCATTTACAGACACACTACGGTGTATTTAGAAATGTTATTCTATACCTGAGGGGACTTGCTGCACATGCAGGGCCCCTGCCTGCAGTTTGAAGTCCAAGTAGATGGTCGGGGTCCTTGTGAAGACCTTAGACTATTGATAAAGAAAAAAAGACAGTAATTTACTTACACACAGCCACAAACTTTAAATAAGTAAGTTAAAGCTGCAATTAATTTGTTGTTGACAACCAACTAATAATCACATGGTATTTTGAGGATACAAAGTCCGAATCTATTGTAGTTCTGTGGCTTCCACTTCTTGTACGTAACAGATTTGTGCATTATTTTCTGTACTTTTCAGTTTTATTTTTTACCAGGTAGAGCTTACTCCACTTCGGCAGTTGGTGTAAATGAATTTAATGAAACTCTCAGCTTTGAGGCTTTGCAAATAGGGAACATAGGTGAGAAAGTCAGCAAAGTGAAGGAAATGAAAGTTTTGTGTAGAATTACTACTGTCATCTGTTGAAATGCAATGAATACAACACATATTTTCAGGGACAAGTTACTTGAAATGTAATCATTTAACCTTTACATATTACGCATTAAAAACAACTAAGATTACTTGTTACATCATTGCACTGTTGCACTGGCCTCAAATGTTAACAACCATTAACAGCTTTCTGTTCAATGTCCCAGCTTGCTTTAAACTTGCTGCCATCCCATCCTCATGGCAGGCCCTTCAGTGGGTTGCCTCCTACCTCCAAGACTAATCAGCCTCTGTTAGAACTGATAATGTGTCCTCTTCCTCGGCACCCAGCTCCTGTGGAGTACTTCGAGGCTCCATATTAGGCCCTATTTTATTTTCCATATATATGCTTCCTTTGGGGTCTACGACACCCAGCTGTGCATTTCGGTGAAACCTTGTGATGCATGCAGTGTTAACTCCCTTTTAAATTGCATTATGGATGTAAAATCCTGGATGGCAAAACGCAAAATTAAAATCACTCCGGTCTGTTAAAGATTTGGAGACTATAATTCACACTTTTATGTCCTGTTGACTCGACTACTGCAATTCTCTCTATGTAGGAATCAGTCAGTCAGCCCTATCTCAGCTCCAGTTGGTTCAAAATGCAGCAGTGAGACTCCTCACCGGTACCAGGAAGAGAGACCATTTCTCCCCCATTTTGGCCTCTCTTTACTGGTTAGCAATGAAGTACAGAATTAAATTTAAAGCACTGCATAGACTGTACCTGGTTACATTTCGACTTATTCCAACTGCCGACCCCTCAGGTTTGGTGAGTAATCACTGCTCTCCATCCAACACATCCAGAAAAAAAAAGTAATTGAGCTTTTTCAGCTGTTGGCCCTAAACTGTGGAATAGTTTGCCACTAGCAATTACATCATCCCGTGCCATGCCTTTAAAACTTTTCTAAAGAACCATCTCTTTGTTATATTATAATTTTAAAAGTAATTCTATTCTTTCATTAATTATTTTATTTTTGTATTTATGTCTGTGTTTTTATTTTGATCTTTACTGTGTTTTTTGTGTGACTTTAATCTCTTAGTAAACCACTTTGGTCACTGTTTGATGTTTTTAAATGTACCTTATACTGTCAATAAACTTGAATTGATTTGTCATTACAGTTGTTACTTAGCCCAGCTCCACTATAGGTGCCTTTTAACAACCTCCATACATATAGAAATAATAAAAAAACACGACATTGTCGTTTAAGAGTCAGCCAGTCTATGTTTTGGAGATATTAACTGACCATCAACAGGTAGTTTGACTTCAGCACCAGTGACTGTAAACAGTGCTCCAGACGTCTAAGATGAAGAAGCCAGCTAAGAACACACATCACATAAATAGGCCAAGGGGAGTTACAGGGAGTTGGATTTGTCCTGTTTTCCCTGCACCAGGGTAACACATACCAGACCAGTCTATCAACCAAACACACAGGAGCCAAACTAATATCAAGCCTTTACCAAACTCCGGGTATGTCAACAAGCTAACCCCAAAATTGTCGAAATAATAGAGCTTCACCTGGACTAGTCACTGTAATACAATTACTGAATATCAAATAGGAATCCCATTCACTACTCATTACTTAAAACAGGAATCGCATTACTGTAACTTGTCTATGTGTAGAGTTTTGTGATTATAGCACCTTTCACATTGTTCTCATGGTATAAGTTAAAGCAGCTATAAATGATACATTACAATAACAATGTATCATATGACATTGTGAAAACAGCGTGACAACCCGGCCGCTGGAGGCAGCTGTTTTCAGTGAAGAAGCTCTAAAAAACCCATGTACAATGCTCAACACCAAACAGCCAGACAGACACTGTCAGAGACTATGGTGAACATTTCAGACCATTAGGCAGCTAAAGAGCCCGATATTTTCCTTGAGGAGACCAAAAACAGAGCTAAAAGAGAGTTAATATTGGACTCATATTCAAGAGGTATCCACAAAACAACTTCAAATGAATGATATTGTTTCTGGAAGCAACTGTTTCACTATGTCATATCCAGTGTTGGGCAATAGCGTTGCTATAAGTAGCGCCGTTACTAGTTTAACTACATTTCTCCGTAGCTTGGTGGTAGCGTCGCTATTTTCTGAATCAAATAGTTTTTCAGTAACAAAGCTCTTTGACCGGGTAGCGTGGTAGCATCCACATACGCTACATTTTCCCAAACATTTCTGAAGGATCAGAGTGACGCAACCGCCGTGACATCACGTACCGATCCTTGGGCTGATGTCTGCGACTTTGTTGCAGGGCCTATGTGACTCTGAGATCAGAATGCCAGAATCAGATGAAGCAATTAAGAGAATAGCAGAATTGTTACAAATTCTTTTGGGTTGACCTGAAAGAATTTTTATTGGAGGCTACAAAAGGACATTTTGAGCAATAGGACACTTACACCTTCAATGAAACAGGGACTAATAACTCTCATTCCCAAACAAGGCAAAGACAAAAGATATATTGATAATCTTCGCCATATCACCTTATTGAACACTGACTATGAGCTGTTTTCTCATGTGATTGCTGACAGGTTGAAGAATGGCCTGGCTGATAAGTGATAATCTGTTTTTCTCCGAGACAGAGCTATACATGACAATATAAGATTGGAATTAGATCTGTTCTGACTATAGGCACTTAATTAAGGATGATGGAATTATTCTTTTTTTGGACTTGACAGTTTATTGACATAATCAATCTTCTATATACAGACATCAGTAGTTCAGTGTCACTGCCATTTGGAACATCTAAGTGCTTTGATATAAAGAGAGGCATTCGACAAGGTTGTCCAACTTCGCCTTTGTTATTTATCATTGTAGTCGAATTACTAGCAATCCATGTAAAAAATAACCCGAACATCCAACCCCTAAATGTCATGGGAAATTCATTGGTAATAAGTCAACTGGCAGATGACACCACACTTTTTTTTAAAGAATGCAAGACAAGTTCCAGCAGCATTAAAAGAGATTTCTTTGTTTTCCAAAGCATCTGGTTTAAAGTTGAATATGACAAAATGTGAAATTTTAACTATTCAAGACCATGCCATGATTAACATGTATAATATCCCATTAAAAAATGTTTATAGAAGTTAAATATTTAGGTATTATAATTTCCAAAGATAAAAAGGTTAGAGAAACATCCAACATATAAAATACCATTCAGAATGAGAGCTATTCTTAACAGTTGGCTTCGAAGAGACATTTTACTTGCTTGTCAAGACTTACCATTCCAGCCTACTCACTGGATATACCCGACAAATTAATTAAGAAGATCAAGATAATTTCAAATTTATATGGAAAAATAAATATCATTATATAAATAAAAGCGATAAAGTGAAACCTGCCGAAGAAGGGGGGTTAAATGCCATTGACTTTGACCCAATGAATGGTACCATCAAATTAAAATGGTTACAAAATTTTATTATAAAAAGGCGATAATTTCTGGTTTTATTTCCCCTTCAAAATCTTCAAAAAGTTTGGTGGCATACATTTCTTATTAAGATGTGACTTTAAAATATCCAAATGACCTATTAAGCTTTCAACTTTCCATCAACAGGTTCTCCACTGCTGGAAACTCGTATACAAACATAACTTTACTCCTCACATGGTCCCAATATGGAATAACAGAAGTATATTAATTAAGAGAAAATGTTTTTTCTACAGTGAATGGATGGAAAAGGGTGTCTGGTCGATTTTTCATTTCTTAGATAACTGTGGTAACTACTTGTAGTGTAACCCAGACCTTCTGGGATGCTTTCCAGTACTGGATCATGTACGATACACAAAATATCCCAATTTTAACATATGAATACGTTAAATTTGGACTTCAAATGGAGAACAGAACAACTGAACTTGGAATGAATAATCTGATTTTAAAGAGGTGGTATTATGCTCATTTTCAGGTTCAAAATCTTAATTAGGGGTTGTACCAGACCAGGTTTACATGGTTTAATTTTCAAGAAACACCATTTTTTTCCTCATACTGCACATTGCTGCAGCTCCTCTTTTCACCCTATGTGTTGTACGCTCCGCTCTTGAGCTACAGAGTGATGCATCTTACTTGTAGAAAATCTTTGTTGGGAGTTGCACATGCGCAGTTCCCAGGTAAGGACTACTAGCCAATCAGAAGCAGAGAAGGGCGGGTCGTAAGAAACAAGGTAGTGTGATCCATATAAAAGCCGCTTCAGACTGCGACCGTAACCTAGCAGATGGTATAAGTTACTCAAGTCCACAACATCATTGTTCTACATCTTACCATTAGGACTAAACGTTGCCGGTGTTCTGACGATCTATGCTGCCTTGCCGAAAAATGCTACAATAGCGCAAATCAACAGACTCGACTCTACTCGGCCCTGCTCCGTTTTCTATTGCAGACAGTACCCAGAGATAGTACGTAGCTGGTCATCATAGCGACGCCACACACAACTGCCGCAACGTAATGTTCAATGTGACACACACACCAGCGATCCACACAGCTTTCTCTTTTTTAAGTTAAAACGTTTCAACATTCCTCAGAATGTAAAGACAGATAAGCGGTATGAAAACCTTCCAGCTGTGTTTTCCTCTGCTGTTGTTGCTGCAGTGGTCTGTGTGACGGCAGGAGCAGAGGGCTCTGTGAGCGGGCGGCTGGCCTCGCAATCAGTGAATAGTGAATATTCTCTCTGACCAGTCAGCAGTCTGTCGTGTTTTCACGTTACATTTTAGTATCCTTCAGCTCGCTTGGAACTTCGACGGAGGTGAGGTGATACGAAAAAAAAGTACCTGGAAGCAGGTACATTTACATTTACTCATTTGGCAGACGCTTTTGTCCAAAGCGACTTACATACAAGCATCAACAGAGCATCAACTACAGATCTACAACTGACAATACATACTAGTAAAAGCAGCAATAAATACTAGTAAGAGCTCACAGTACATATCACATCAATGGGGTAAATACCTTGGGAAGGAAGTAAGAGTTAACAGAAAGTGCAATCAAAACAAAAAAGTGCAATCAATACAAGATCTTTGTAGGGGATAGAAGAAGAAGAGCACAGGAAGTGCATGTTAGAGGTTAGGAGTTAGAGGAAGTGTTCTCGGAAGAGATGAGTTTTCAAGAGGTACAGGTACAACATTTCTAAAATGGAAACCCAAACAAAGGCGAGTTGAGTCAAAGGGCCTTCGCTCAGACTAGCTTGATTTGAGGGCGTGCCTGACCCACTAGCTGCTTGGCAAGCTTTATGATGCGTTTGCATTGTGACGTCACAAGTCAAGGAAGTGAAGGGCTGGACTACAAAGGAGCTGTTTTCAAGCGGTTCAGAGAAGTGCTTTCTGTGGAAAATGGGAACTCCCTTTGGGCTGGACTTTGGGCTTTTTCACTTTGCAAACCTGTTACATGCACAAAAAAGATATACAACTCAATAAAGGAGACCACCACTTTAATGACAACATATTTCATATACAAATGTCGATTTCTTAAAACATCCCCCGTCTTTAATGCCTTTCTAAATGACATAATTCTGTACAGGGGCGACCTATAGGGGGGAAAAGTTAGGACAATTCCAAGGGCCCTTGACTGACAGGGGCCCCAAAAAATAAATAAAACTAATATACAATATTATATTGTATGTTATATAAACCATCATCACTGAAATATATATATATATATATTTCAAATCTAATAATAAAATGAGTAATCTCTTTGTTTTTACTCGTTTTTGGCAGTAAAAGTTAAATATCCCCATTGACCAAAAAGTAAACCACTGACCACCCCCCTGTATCTGCATGAAATGGTTTGGTCCTGCCTTAGCGCACTGATCAGTGACGGTGTTTAGTTACAGTCAGTAGATGCGCCAGAAATACAGTGATCACAGTGTTGCCTAGTAAACCAAAATCTGGTTTTCAAAAAAGGAAAGAGAGCAAAGAGAGAGAGGAAAGACATAGGAGGCCTCTTCTGGTGTGGTCGGCGCTAAAATCAACGCTACCCTCTTCCAGCACTCTAATTTTGGTCATCTGAACGCACCAGAGGCCATGACAGCCGTCCGGATCCCAAAGGAGGATCATCTACCATTGAACTCATTGGCGGTAGAAGCATCAATAAGGAATATTTTGGCATACCGAAAAACAAACAAGAGGACTTCAAGGCAGCCATAAAAAATATCAATTGGGATGAGCTACTTCCTGAAAATGATTTAGAAATGACCAGTCAAATATTTACAGAAAAATTGCAATCCACAATCCATGAATTCTCAATTAGAATTAAATGTAAAAACAAGAAACAAAGTCTTGAAAGTTGCCTCTATATTCAAAGGTGGTGACCCTCTACCTACTTCCAATTACAGGCCCATCATTGTTGTACCTGTAGTATCTAAGGTATATGAAAAACTGATTAACAAACAAATCATTGACCGTCTCAACAATAGCTCCTTTTCACTGCACATAATGCAATTTGGATTCAGGGCTAATTACTTGACAGAAACTGCTACATGTTATTTCTGTCACACTCTGCATGTCTGTCTCTGTTTTCCCCTACACTCTCTCTCTCTCTCTCCCTACCTGTGCCTCGTTAGCCTCATGTCTTTCACCTGTGTTGCTCCCGCCCTGCTCATTAGTCCCTGTGTATATATACCTTGTGTTTCTGTCTTGTCTTTGTCGGGTCATTGTATGTTGTCACCCAGTGTTGCAGTTTGTTCGCGTGTCTTCAGCCTTACTCGCCGTGTCTCGTTGTTACCCTGCTCAGTTTTGGATTCTGGTTTTCACCCTTTTGGATTTCTGTTGGACAGCCTTTGTTTTGGGACTCTGTCAGCAGCCACTCAGTTTGTAAGTGTGCTTGCCTTTTGTTTGTTTATTAAACCACTGAACCATACCTGCTCCGCTCTGTGTCCTGCTTTTGGGTCCTCCAACCTGCTCCACCCTGCTCCACACCACCGATCGTGACAATTTCATAGAAAAAGTTAAGGCATCGCTGGATAAAGGCAGGGTTATAGTGTTCCGTGACTTAAAGAAAGTATTTGACACGGTTAATCATAACATCCTATTGTATAAACTACTGAATTTCAATTTCTTTAAAGTTGGTCAATCTTATCAAATCTTATCTCTCATTCCGCTCTCAAAATGTCAATTGGTAACTATAAATCTAACCCCCTATGTCTTTCAACTGGGGTCCCATAGGGCTCCATACTTGGTCCAACCCTTTTTAGCATATGCATTAATGATTTACCTTCTGTTTGTGGAAATTGTGATATTTTAATGTATGCTGATGATACAGTTATTTTTACTTATGGTAAGACTGCTGAAGAGTTTGCAATCAAGCTAACAGATGTATTAGTGAAGGTCACATCCTGGCTTAATCACTGTTGTTTGCAACTGAATGTTCCAAAAACAGTTCGTATGTCTCTTTCCAAAGGTTCCTGCATAGACGCAGAGAAAGTAATTTTCATTTCAGGACACAGACTAAAAGTTGTCTCAGAATACAAGTACTTAGGACTACACTTAGACTCAAACTTTGCCTTCAAAACCCACATAAAGAAGGTCTGTAATAAAGTAAAGTTCAGTTTGGCTAATTTCAGGTATATCGGAAACCTCCTATCAACTGAGGCAGCTAAGTCATATTTCCACTCATTGGTTCTCTCCCACATCACCTACTGTCTGATAAGTTGGTCCAACGCACACTCTACAGCCTTAAAACCACTGAAATCATTATACAAACAACCACTTAAAACTCTAGACAAAAGGCCATTTCGTTACCATCATTGCCATATTCTAAAGAAGTATAAGCTGCTTAGTTGGGAAAACCTCATAAAATACAGAAACGTCTGCTTAATTTATAAGATCTTGTACAGCTCCTGTTTAGCTCCTCCTCCTTTGTCTGGCCTCATCAACTTTAAATCAACTGCAAACAGAGTTACTAGAGGTGCAGCTAGGAGGGACTGCACAATCCCACTCAAAAAAATTTTTTTCAGCCAAGCCATCTTTTCATTTACAGCATCACATCAATGGAACTCAGTACCACCATCAATTAGAGATTCTCCATCCTATTACTCATTTATGAGTAATGTTAAGAAATGGCTTATTGAAAATCAACATTGTCAACACTGACGCTGGTCCCATCCACCAACAATAACTGTATCATCTATTTTTAGATTTGATCTGCTCATCTTGTTTACTCAATTATTTGTGATTTTTAACACAGTGTAATTTATTTTACCTTTTGTCAATTGTATAATGTATTTTATTGTATTATAACAGTTTACTATTTTAGGATGCCTAATAACATCTGGCAAGGGGACTGCCGATGAAAAATAGCCTGTGGCTAACTCGGGTACGCTTACATTTGCTTGAATGTTGATCAGTGTACATTGTCCCTTTTCAAATAAACAAATAAATAAAATGAAAAGAAAATGCTCAAGTTTAGTACAAATATCTTAAGTACTACTTTGTTACTGTCCACCACTGGGCTTAGCTTTGGCTACCTGAAATTAAGGAAAGGACTAGAGATGTTTTTCTATATTTTGGCTCTGGACGGAAAGCTATCATCCATCAAGATGGTGAAAATGGCTGGCCTTGAGCCACAGTGCGTCAAGTGGGAGTCCCCTACTCCTGATATCAAGGCATTAAAATGTGCAACAAACAATTACAACACAAAACACCATTCATAAGACGAAATGTGTAGCCTACTCACACACTCAGCTAGTAGGGCAAGTTCTGCCATCCTACTGTAGGCCTATGCGTACAGCACTGCTACACACATAGCCAAAGTTAGTTTTAATACATTTGTATTTTTGAAATACAAGTTTATATATAAATAGTCTTTTATCAGATCTTTTTGTTATAATTTCTATTTGTTTGGGTCAATTATGAACTATAGGTAAAATTTAACTGCTAATAAAAACAAGGGGCCACTGCTGCAAATATCGTTATCTTATCTCGTTATCTTACTCCAAACTTTTGATAAAACCTGAGAGCCCTGGTGTGACACGTTTACACACAAACTTACACGCACACACCTTTGCTCCCAGAGCCTCTCCAGATATCACAGCAACTGTAACTCCTCCCTGGCTGGGTTTGGGGATCTCTGAGCCTTTAAGCTCCTGGTACGCTGGTTCCACCATCTTGTCTCGTCCTGGCAGATTCACCCACAGCTGTAAGCCCACCACTGGCTCCTCTGATGCGGGCATCTCAGCATGAACCACCCCCCGTCCCGCAGTCATCCACTGGTGGAGAAGGAGACATATTTCAAATATACCAATGACACAATCACAAATGTCACACATACACTCACCGGCCACTTTATTAGGTACACCTTGCTAGGACCAGGTTGGACCCCCTTTTGCCTTCAGAACTGCCTTAATTCTTTGTGGCATACTTTCAACAAGGTGTTGAAAACATTCCTCAGATACTTTGGTCCATATTGACACGATAGCATCAATCAGTTGCTGAGGATTTGTTGGCTGCACATCCATGATACAAGTCTCCTGTTCCACCACATCCCAAAGGTGCTCTATTGGATTGAGATCTGATGACTGTGGAGGCCATTGGAGTACACTGAACTCATTGATGTCCAAAAAAACAATTTGAGATGATTTGAGCTTTGTGACATGGTGCATTATCTTGCTTGAAGTAGCCATCAGGGGCCCAAAGTCTGCCAAGAAAATATCCCCCAAACCATTACACCACCACCACCAGCCTGAACTGTTGATACAAGAGAGGATGGATCTATGATTTCATCAAATTCTGACCCTACAATCTGAATGTCGCAGCTGAAATTGAGACTCATCAGATCAGGCAACGTTTTTTCAATCTTCTATTGTCCAATTTTGTGGGCAAATTGTAGGCTCAGTTTCTTGTTCTTAGCTGCTGTAGCCCATCTGCTTCAAGGCTCAACGTGTTGTTCAGCGATAGTATTCTGCATACTATTATTTGAGTTACTGTTGCCTTTATGTCATCTCAAACCAGCCTGCCTATTCTCCTCTGACCTCTGACATCAACAAGGCATTTTCGTCCACACAACTGCCCCTCACTGGATATCTTCTCTTTTTCGGACCATTCTCTGTAAAACCTAGAGATGGTTGAGCGTGAAAATCCCAGTAGTTCAGCAGTTCATGAAATACTCAGACCAGCCCATCTGGCACCAACACCAATTCCTTGTTCAAAGTCACTTAAATCCCCTTTCCTCCCCATTCTGATGCTTGGTTTGACCTTCAGCAGGTTGTCTTAACCATGTCTACATGCCAAAATGCATTAAGTTGCTGCCATGTGATTGGCTGATTAGCTATTTGTGTTAACAAGCAACTGAACAGGTGTACCTACTAAAGTGGCCAGTGATTGTATATGCTAAGCATGTTCACAGATATGTATTTGCATTGCTATTTGCTGAGGCCATAACAATTTATTTGTATTAAATTAACCAGCAGCATTCTAATTAGCCATGCATGAGGCGTGGCACCTTTGGTTCAGACAGAAATAATGTTCTTCAATGGATGTATTGTTGTAACTTGGTGATCCCATGATTTTTTTTTTTTTTTTTTTATCTACTGTAGTTCTACAAGATAGATTAGCACAAAATTTGGTTCAAATAGGGAGATCTAATGACCCCAGTGATCCTAACCCAGCCTCAGTTGTACTTTGTGTTTAGAACTAACAAGTAAATGTTAGCATGCTAACACACTAAACTAAGATGGTGAACATGTTAAACATCATACCTGCTAAACATCATCATGGTGACATTGTGAGCCTGTTAGCCTAACAAGCTAATCATTTGTTAGCAGTTAGTTCAAATCACAAGTACAAGTACAACATTAGAGAAACCTGACAAAACCTGTTGTATTGCATTGAGGATGTAGACTGAGAGTCTAATAGCACATAAATGCATCAAAAGTCAGCAGAACACCTCGAACAGTGTTAAAACACAACACTAAGGTTTTATTTTTGACACAATTAAACTAGATCAATTCACTGTTAAGGGATATCTAGCTAAAGAAATTGCAAGTCAAGTTTCATAAGATAAATGGAAACCACTGGCATGAAAATAGGATAAACACATTACAGAAACTTAATCACATGTTTTCTTTGAAAGATCGTAAGCAGTATTATACAGATTGTATGGCTACTATTATGCAAAACACCACCATGACAAAAGTGATTTTCAGTAAAATATAAATACGTGCTTCTGAATGAAAAAATATAATAAATACATTCTGAAACATTGTTGGACTGGTTTCAGCATTTAGTTTAGTAGAACAGCTTCTGCTTGTCCTTTAGGCCATCTGGAAATTTCCACTGTCAAGCTTTGCTTTAATGCAGCTGGCCCTGATAATTCATCTGTGACTGTTCATGCTGTTTGGTTTCTTTTATTGCTGCTTATTATTTGCTGGGGATTTACTGTCCGGGATCTACTGGATAATAAAACATGCAGAATACAACAGAGAATAATTACAACCCCAGAGAACAGAGGCAACAGGGGTTTGAATTGGATTTCATGAGTGGTTTTAATTAAATTTAAAACATCTTATATGATAAAATACATATGCAGTCTAACTTGGAAATAAGCTGCCAGTTTGAGCTTTCCCCTAAAGGACCAACATGCATGCAGAGGTTACACATGGTGGGTTAAAGCAAATTAAGCTGAACTGACTGAACTTCTTCTGCAGATTGAAGCTGAGTCAGCAGCCTGTGTGTGTGAATGTAACTTTACTACTTTAAAAACACAGGAAACAACCCACAGGGCATGATATCCAATTAGTGTGAGCGCACAACATTGTAATGCATATGTAATTAGTTTGTGGGGATTTGTATGCCAATAGGCTTAAACCTACTTCTGCTTGTATAGATTAATTTACATTAATAACAACTGGACTGAATGCTTCTGATTCAAGTTAATGGATTTTTTAAATCTACCACATTTACAACAGTATTAGAGGATTAGACTGTTATATAACATGCATCTAAAATCTGAAATATCAGAAAATATAACCACTTAATTTAGCATTTTTTTAGTCATGAATTTAAAGGTACAATGTGTAAGATATCAAAGATATCTATGTTGTGTTGCAGAGATATCTACTGAAGTTGGCATGCTAACCAGTTTGCTGGTGGTATCAATCACCATTCCCTAAATATCACACCTTTCCTTTAAAAAAAAATCACAAAAATGAACATAGCACAGAATTATGGCGGATAAATGGGCATCAGTTAAAATGTGAATATTTTGAGTTTTCTCCACATTGGCAATATTCAGCATGAGTGAAGTATATAATCTATACAGAATTAATAGAAAATAGCTATTTTAAAGACCTGCTTGAACAGCTGTGGTTGTTAATGGTTGGTTTCTCTGTCAAACAAAGCCTAAATATAATAATAATAGTAAAAATATATTATTTATAGAGACCTTTTCATGGTACTCAAAGACACTTCACACAAGTTAAAATACACAAGCACACCCACCCACACACCATGAGAACTTCTTCATTCATCACTTTCTGTTCCCTTTTTAACAATGTGACTTTTGTGTTTGTTTGGTTTGTAGAAGTCTGTTCGGTCTTTATGTTCACTGGTTTTGAATGGTTTACCATCTTGACTGTAATCCTACACTGAACAAAATAATAAATGCAACACTTTTGTTTTTGCCCCTATTCATCATTTGACTCAACTCAAAGATCTAAAACTTTCTCTAAAGGCTTATTTCTCTCAAATATTGTTCACAAATCTGTCAAAATCTGTGTTTTATGAGCACTCCTCCTTTGCCGAGGTAATCCATCCACGTCACAGGTGTGGCATATCAAGATGCTAATCCGACATTGCACAGGTGTGCCTTGGGCTCACTAACACAGATTTTGACAGATTTGTGAACAATATTTGAGAGAAATAGGCCTTTCATGCTCACGATGAATGGGGGCCAAAACAAAAGTGTTGCATTTGTAATTTTGTTCAGTGTATTTTTTCATTCCTTTTTTCTTAAATTGTTTTATAGCCTCTTGGGATTGCTAATAAAATAACAGTTAAAGTGAAAAAAAGTGTGTACAAATATCTGCAAATATCTAGTACCTGCAGATCTCCAGGTTTCAGTAGTCCTGAATGGCCACAGAAGTCTTCATGGGCCGTGATCCCCTCTAAAACATATGTTACCTGTTTGAGGAAAGAAACACACATGTAGCATACATAGCTATTGTAATATTGACTTAATAATTAGTTACATAATGCATTTTAAGTGAATATAATGTTGAAGGTTTCATCCATGCCATGAATGTTGATACAAGTGCTGATTCAACACTAAAAGCATGTGTTTTGTAGTTTCACTGCCCCAGTGATCAGACTGGACAGGAAGAGAAGTGCTGATAGTTGGGTCATGGGTTCAAAGGTAAACATCTGTCTAAGGGAGGAAAGCTCGGGCCTCTGCAGTGAGCAGCCTGTGATCTGTCTCCACAGCTGTGTGATTTCAAATCTCATGTGAGTCTGAACAAACACACCTGCTGAAAGGCATGCTGGGAGTGTAGCTTAATCCTGTCCAACCACACCGGGAGATTCAAGTTACATCTGCCAAGTCAAATACACTTGGAGGAACATCTGGCAATCTAAGGACAATTTCAGGGGTTTTTTAAAGTTGGAATTTAAAGTCCAACTCGCCACATTACCTACAGATTTATACCATAATTATAATTTTACACAATGAATTTTCACTTGTTAACATGTCTTCAGTTACTCCTCTATCGATCACTCATTTTCAACACTACTCCAAAGTCAGACATGAAATAAAGACAGCCAATAAATGACAATATGCAGGGAAGAAAAGATGGAAAATAAAGACAGATTATGAACTGTACCAAATGAGAATGTTTTAAATATGTAATTAAACACTGATGCCATTTCAAAGGGGTGACAATAATAGTAAACTTCAAAAACAGAGCTTCATCATGTGAGAAGAGAGTTTGTGATTGTTTATGGGGAGAAACATCAGTGATGCAGAAATTTAAATATTAATGCACAAGAGGCTACCGCAGTAATGTGATCACATTTTGTGGTCTTTCGTGTGTATTTGATCTCTCTATTTTCAATAAACTGGGACTGCCAATGTGTCATTTTGCCAGTAACAATGGCCAAGGAAGACTCTCTTTGGTGGAGACACAATACATTAATTTCAAATGCCTAGAAGAATAAAAACCACAAAACCAAGAAGGGCTCCACCAAAACACATCAGAAGCCGGGGCAATTCCTGTCTTTCAAAAGAGGGGATTTTTTTGTGCGTTGTCATCAATAAATCTCTAATCCAAAACTTTCTCGCCTCCACTTGAGCTCATTCAAACTTAACAGTAGGCTACCAGCAGGATATTTCTGGCTTTCTGTATATTTTCTTTATATCTATAAACCTAAATTATCATTTTTGGAAGTCAAAATGGTACAGTAGCTTACTTTCCTTTGTTGCCATCTAGTGATCCAAGAAGGAATTTCACGCCTCAGTAAAACCTGTTGGTCCTGTGCTTTTGTTGTTGTGCTGCTTACCTTAGTGTTTTTGGTTAAAGGAGTTGCACCAGTTCACTGCTGTTATATTGTTCTGAGTTGTTAATGAGGAGGGTGTTGTGCTTTTTTAGGTATATAAGTGTCCATATAAGTGCATTTGCTATATCCTTTGATTGTTGTGCAAAGCCTGTGCTACTACAGTTAAGATTCTTCTTTGGGATTGGTAATATCCTGAGCTGAGTTTTGAAGAATGAATTTGAAAAATCTGGTTGAAAGCATACAACTCGATTTGTACTCAAATTAAGCTTTTTCACCCAATAATGGGTTAAGACAGTTGTAAAATCATATGTAGGGCTGCAACTAATAATTATTATTATCGTTTAATCTGCAGATTATTTTCACAATGAATAGTCAAATTTATAAAGCCCAATATCACAAATCATAAATTTACCACGACCAGCATTCAGATTTGGATAGGAAAGGAAAAACTTCCCAAAATACCAATTTGACAGGGAGAAAAATGGATGGCAAACATAATTAGCAAAATAGTTGCTGATTATTTTTATGTCAATTGACTGTTTTTTTCAGCTGTACTGTAGGTATAGGTTTTGTATTCATAATGTTTTGTATTTCTCTTATAAATGTCTGTGTTGGCTAAAATTAAATGTGGTACTTTGTTTTAATCTCTGCACATATGAATGTGTGACAGGTGTGTTGGATGAAGGTGCACACTGTCTTGCTTACTGCTGAAATATTTATTTGATCACAACATTTAAGGTATATGGTATACCTATTGAAGGTCGGACAGACCGAGACATTGTAATTAAATAAATATTTCAGCAGTAAGCGAGACAGTGTGCGGCAGTTCTTTTCATTGTAAAAAGTGTTTTTAAAAGCTGGTGATCACAATGTGGTTTATATGCTTCGTACCTCTGATATATAGGTTACATGACAGATTGGTGGACTGTACATAAGGACACCAGAAACAAACACCACCCTGATGAAAGAAAGAAAGAAAGAAAGAAAGAAAGAAAGAAAGGAGAAATTGTTTGAGATGATGTGAAAAAGCTTGTCCTGTAGAAGAGAAGGGAGTTTGATATAAGGGTTTAATATAAGTTTTCCTCCGATTTTATTCAATAACCACTTTACATATGCTGATCCGGGTACATACTTTCTACACTTAATACTTTGGAATGCCGAAAATTATATTATTAAATTAAAATAATAATAAAATAATAGTCAATCATATCCTTACTGTCTCAAATCCTCTGTGAGGATGGTCTGGAAATCCTGCCGGCTTGCTCACTCTAAACTCATCCAACATCAGGAAGGGATCCAGGTTTCTCAGCTGGGAACAAAATATGTACAGTTTTGCATGAAATACAACGGCATTTGTTTTATTAAATGGATTGATAGTTGAACCACATTTACATTTTGATAAACTTACCTCCTTTCTACCGATGCTCCTGCGGACACGAGCACCGACTCCCTCTGACTGTTCCACACTCAGAACTGTCTTCTCCACTCTCCTCACATTCATTATGCTGGGAAAGGTTTCACTGGTCACTAAAAAACATTAGATATACCTGAATGTTCATGAACCGCAGATAAAATGGCAATAAAAAGTATTTATTGACAAATAAAATTCCTTGTTTTGAGGCAAAAAATCCATCTTTTTTTTTTTTCTGTGCACAAGCTCCTCTTGAAATTGTCAGTAAAACACTAGAGGAAATGTCATGTCATAACTTTAGATGTTTGTGACTTTGTCACTGCGGCCATAAACAGCCATTTTAAACATATATTCAGCTGTTTATAAAATAATATTACAGCATAACATACTACTGGCGACCTGTCCAGGGTGTACCCCGCAATCGCCAGCTGGGATTGGCTCCTGCCCCCCACGACCCTGTATGCAGGACAAGCGGTTGTCGATGGATGGATGGAGCATAACATATTTCATACCTCACATAAAATGTCAATCTATCCATCCACTTCCTCACTATTATTCAGTGCAATCTACAGTTTCCCAGCATGCAGTGGGCAGGGAAACATTTTTGACAGGAAATATGACCTTTGTTTTTTCTTTATAATTTCTTAAGGGTGTTGCAGAAACAAAGGAAAATTGTTTTCTTTCTTTCTTCATTCATTCTGTCTATGGTATGTTAGTGATCTCAAAGGATAAGCTTATAAACTTAACTGCAATTCAAAGTGTTACTGTTGCTGGTGTTTTAATGATTTGGTTTTAAAAATCAGACAAAAAGGATCCAAACTGTAGCCTACTGAGGAGGAGAAACCAGTTTGGGTAATATTCCAAAATGAAATAGCCTCCTGCAAACATGACGAAATATCCGGAAAGGTCACGCAATCACGGGGTTTTCCCGGTTTCAAAATACTTTTGTACTAAATACTTTTCTCGGTAAATTAGAAGTTCACGGCAACACGTAGATGTCACGACGACTGAAATAGATTAGCCGATCTGAGAGCAGCAATCATCTGCGAGTGTATCAGCTGAGCAGTCAGCTGAGCGGATCAGCTGATCGTCAGCTGATCCCAGCGCTGCTGCTGACGGCTTGGTTTGGTAAAATGTTATTTTACATCATCTCTGTCCTGGGTGTTACCCGCATTTATGTGCTTGAAAAACGGATCCTCTGAACTTAATCACAGTAAAAAAAAAAAAAAAAAAAATGGAGCACCGTGATCTGCTGATAGCAGTCTGCTGCTTCCGCATCAGCCTAGTTACCGACTCCTTGCTATTTAAAATTGAGCTTTTTTCAACGTTAGGTCCGTCTGCACGGCACCTTTTTATTAACTGCATATTTTATCATATCTAGGCTTCACTGCTTAGGCCTATGCTATTGGAAGCGTAGCGTGTTATTTAGGCTACTTTACCTGGACGAGCAGTCACCTGCTACACCTGACACCAACAGCACTTTCAACAGTGTTTGACTGCCAACCTTAAATTACATTAAAAATAAAGCCAAAATATACCTACCTGACCGTGTAAGAAAAAAAAGCCCCGACACTGCTCTAGTTGTTTTTACTGTTTCGATAGCGATATTTGTTGTGACTACAGCCCTTTTCACCTCCTCAGGTAAGATTACAATCCTGAAGTCAGGCGGGGGCGTGCCTGAATAGAAACTGCAGTGTCAGTGTGAGTAGGTAGTCCACTATTCAAATATATCCGAAGAGTTACACCATCCCTTGTGCAGGGCAAAAGCTATTTCCCAGCAAGCAATAACCGTCATTTCACCGTCCAGGTTTACTATAGACCTGATTTAGTCCGGCTATGAGTAACCCACTTCTAGCCGCAATTTTACATGTGGTTACAGGACGTTTTTGCCAAACTAACTTACAATGTATATGATATTCCATCATTTAAGCAAGGTCTACAGTGATTATAACTTTTTTATTTTATTTCTTACACATGATTTACGTGCAGCCTGTGCGTAGACACGATTTAATTCGTAGACAGACACCTGTTGTAGCCCACTTCTAGTCAATAGTCAAAAATGATTAAAAGCGGGTTTTTGCCCTGGCAGCACGTGCATTATTTTTGCAATGTCAATAATATCAACAACATTTTAAGTGTCGTTAAATTGACATGGTCTAGCTGTAGCCACGATTTAGCTCTTATTTGGACAGGCTAGGTGTAGTCGGCTTTTAGACCCACCCGGTGAAATAGAGGCAATTAGTGGTCTAATATCAACGGCTTGGCCGTAGCCCTGTTTCAGACCAAATTGGTTACATGTAGTTTTCACCCATGCAGCTGTTGAGGTGCGTGATATCATTTTATCAAATGCAAGTAAACATTGAAACATTTTAATTATCTTTATTTTCGCTGCAACGTTCCCAGCATTAATTTTCATTTTAATTTAAAACAAAATGCAATTACTATTTTCAACCGCTAGATGGCAGCTGTAGCTGTGACTACTGGCAACGCGAGACTTGAAAGTTAGACATCAGGGACGGCCAGATCTCGCGATAAAGACATCCGCCATTTTTAAACGAGGGATACGTTAAGATTTCGGTCTTTCAGCGAGCAACCGTCGAGAGTTTACTGCAAACACTGGAAGCGAAAAGACATTTACTTTGGTCTTGTAAGTATTTGTGTCTTTGTTTGACATGTCTTAATTATTTATCTACATTATATGTTAACGTGTAGGAACCGGGACATTTCAGCGGGTAACAGTGTAGAGTAAGGCACGTTGTGGTTAGCTTAACATGCTGCATGCAAGTGTAACTTAACGTTACTGTAACGTTAGTCCATGATACCCACAGGTTTCCTCGTGCCCTTAAAAACTCTTACATTATCTGAATTCAGAAGGGATGAACATAAAACATGTGCAACCTTACCTATTATAATTTGTAATGAAAGCCACACATATTTTACTCACTAGATCATTATGATATGAAAATATGAGTTTTTGACTTTTGACACTAAATATTTATTGCAAATTCTCCAGCATACAGTCAGCAAAGACAACAATAAATATTCAGAACAGAACACTTACATTCACAGCACATAGCTCTCTCAAAAACATAAAAGCAACTTTCTCTATTTGGTTGTTCTAATGCAACATGATGGCTAAAACATGTGTCCTGTTCAAGTATCTTTATATTTTCCATAGAGATAAATGGGTCAGTAATCAATACTATCCTTCATTAGAATGATAATTAGAAACTTACTGTATGTTTTAATTTAAAATCATTTGATGATAGTCATGTCTTGTGGGAAAACAGTCAACATAGTCAAATTATAATGTTTACTTATATTCATATTCTTACATATTCAACAGTTCCCATTTACCTGAGAGACTGGCGCCAACCGGGAGACCCATCTGATGCTCTTCCTGCATCAAGTACCAGCGTAGATGAAGATCTAGATTTGGATGTAGCCAACCAATTTATTTTATCATTATTTATGTTTTTATTACTGCATATTGTTAAAATTGTTAGTATTTTCATATAAACTTTTGTATTTATAATATTTTAGCAATAATTCCTTTATATTTTCATCATGTTGTATTATCTTAAGTTGTCTACATTGTAATCCTTTTTCTTAATAAAATCTTTATATTTAATTTGTTTGGACGGATTACCATTTGTGAGAACCTGTTTTGTTTGAGTAAAAACAATCCTTTAGCCACTATTCTTTTGTCTATTAGAGGTAGATATGTAGTCACTTAAAAGCTGTGTATTTGGTCTATTCTTGGGCTGTGGTTAGACGTCTATTAACTTTTCACTGACAGCCCAAATTCAGCCTTGTTTTAGCCTAGACCCATTTTCACCATCTAATACATGTCTATATGTAGCCATTCAATGGTGGTCTAATTGATGACTAGACTAGTTTTGGGCTATGGTTAGACGTCTACCAAACTTTCACTGACAGCCCAAATTCAGCCCTGTTTTATCCTAGACGTCTGGGCTCTGTTTAGACGTCTTTTAACCGTGAAATTTCAGTCAATTCAACCCAGTTTTACTTTCCTCAGATTTTGTCTCACAGGGCTTTACAATATGAATAATATACAAAACCTTCAATCATTAGAACCTTGATTCAGATAAAGACAAACTCACTATACATTTTTGTTGCCATAAAATATTTGCTTATGTCAGCCATGGAAACTGATCACATGAGGCAAACATAAATTGCAGATTTTCATTCCAAGCCATGTCCTAAAATTTTTGTGTAATATCTGTTAATATTGAACGAATACTGATTGGGCAATTAAGGATGAATATGTGTTAATTTGAAATATGTTCGTGATAGTCCCCAAAAAAGTCAGTTTCACAGATTTTAAGTCCAATCCGTTTAATCAAGTCCCCTTTGAACAGGATAATCAACAATAGATGACTACTCTCATGTGCATTTGAGCTCTTCAGACTAAATGGTAAAGTTAAAGCCATAATTGGCCTTTCATCTGTTGAATATATTCTTCAGTTTTGGATTTCTCCCCAATCAGTTCAAAAGCATCTGCATTGTCCTGTTGCTGACGGCACATGATGTCCTTGGCAATTCGCATGCTGGCAGCCTGACCCCCAGCTAGGTTTACTGCATGAGGTCCAACCTGTGTGTGGAGGAAACAAAGGTAATGGTCCCATATGCGGAAACTGTCAAATAATAATACAGACCAAAACATAGAAGACCCACCTGAAGAGCGGTGTACTGCCCCATCAGGTATAGCGGGCACTCATCTGCCCACTGTAAGCTTTCTGATATGCATGGCCAACCATCTATCACCTTCATGGAGGGACATGACAGACACCATTTATGGATCTGTCATAATTACCTTGTTCAGGTTGCATGTGAAAATAGAGCACATGGAGTGGTTTGAAAAATTAACATGAGCCTGTTGTCTTGCTATCCTTCAAGTCATTTTAAAACTTTTTTTAAACCAAGCAAAACTTTTATGTTCTTTCTTTTTCCACCCTACGTACAGAATTGCCTAAAACATTGGGATGTCCAACCCACCTGAATGGGGAATTCCCTCATCACCTCAGAAAGCAACGGGTCCTGTTGGACGTCTAGTTTGCAGCCAGTGGCGAGCCAGATCATATCTCCAGTCCAGTGGGCCCCGGTGCTGAGGGAAAGACTCCAGGCCTGGTTCCTGTAGCACCAGCTGCTTTCACTCACCTGGACAGGTAAAAAAAATCTTTTTACGTACTTCACATTACATTCTGTCACCTGTCGTGAGATTATCTCACCTCATCCCATCACCTCTCATCCACTCAGCCTTAAACCCTATGGGATGCACATGTACCTGACAGTATGTCTTTACGTCCACCTGTCCATTCAGGATGAATGGCTGTAGGTGGATGTAGGCCTCTGGGGTGACAGCCCCTCCTTTCCTTGCCTGGCGAATCATAGCCAGCCGTTTGTGGAGACTCCGCTCATTATAGAACTGTCTTAGGTAGGCTTGGCCGTCCATCTTGATTCCATGCTCCACGTGGGAGTAACGACCCACCAGGCTCTCCACATCACCCACATCAAACTGTTTTAACTGTACAAGAAATAATTCAGACTGGTATGTGTGTTGGAGGCAAACTGGTATGTCTACTGTAGTTCTTTATGGTTGGTCTACATGCAGTTTCACACTGTCACTAAACCTGGAGGTGCTTCCTCATGACCCATGTCACATGGCTGGCACCTTGCTGCAGGGCAATTGAGACGACATGAGCGCTGGTCAGACCTCCACCAACTACCATTACTCTCTGCCCTGCCTCACACACTACACACAATTTTAGAGTCACATGGGGAGGAGTTGTAAAGGAAAGTGTTGCAGTAAGGATGGGAGATCAAATAGCCACTGAAGTCAGCAGAAGCATGGAAACCTCAGGTGAAAGCAAAGTAATAATGAAGACAAAAAATTATTGTGATGTTAAATGACACTGAAATCTGACTCACCTTTAGTTGTTAAAGTCTCTTTCACACTCCAACAATCTGTGTCTTTATTTTTTTGCCGAGCAGTTGCCAGGTGATGCATGAGGTGCACAGTGTGTTGCAAACGCTCCTCTGGGTAGCTCTCTCCAATGCTTTTCACCCATGAGGGGATGTTTGCCATCTGGGCCCGGGTCGGACCTGTCGCCATAACAACTTGGCGGGCTTTTAGGGTGATGCCTTCTTGAAGTTGGACTTGAAAATATTTCACTCTCTTCTTTGCCCCGTCTTCCTTCCTTTCAGTCGTTCTCGTGGCCTCACCCTCTGTTTCCCACTCCTTTATCCGGTCAGTCTCTTCTTCCGTCTCGTCCTTGTCCTCAATCACAGGGGTGATGCGCTCCACTGTTCCCTTTACCAGCACTTTGTCCAAGTTGTATCTCTCCACCTGTACAGATTCACCAACTCAGCTACTAGGAAATAGCAATGCTCAGATTTAGGTGTTCATTCTTCTTAAAAGAAAATGTTGGCATTGTTCCATATTTTTCCATCTAAACCTACAATGCCTCTTTGATTCCTACTGAAGACATACATCTTTAAAAACAAGAAAAAAAATACATAAGTGTCTCATTATGTGTATTATATGTCTCATTTTGGAATGAATAAACACATTTCTTGGATATGATTATGATATTTTCTTTCAATGTTAAAAAAATAACTCCAAACAAGCACAAAACACTAATCACAACAAACGTTATTTAGATGCAGTGTTGCATGCTTTTGGGAAGTTCTTTATTCAGAAATACATGAATGTGATGTTAGAGAGCATTAATACAAATTGAGATGTGTACTTACAGACAAGTCAAGCAAACACAGCTTTTTTAAAGTTATTCATTGCCTTTAAGTGTAGAGTAACATAGTGACATCAGTGTAACATTAAACATTTCATGCAGAACACGCACAAATATACTGTGTCCAACCTGATCTTTAAAGAAATCCACACTTAGTTTGGTTCCTGGCAGACTGAAGGATAAACTTTTCTTGAGTGTTGAGGTGATGTTTAGACGTTTCCTCTCCTTCTTGCCGAGCCTCATGTCATTGAAGAATGCATTTTCATCCAGAATATAAACCTGGTCTGGAAGACTGTGCAGCTCTGCCAAACGATCAAACTTTAAAACAAACTCCTGCAGAGCTTTCTGTCAATGAAAAATATATACACATGCTTATTTACATTCATGCTTTAAAAGCAGCTTCCTCATTTCTACTTTAGGGGAATTTGTTTGTTATATACCTTATTGAGAGGATCTGTGTGCACCAGTGTATGTGAGCGCAAGTGAGGGATTTTTAGAGCTGTGAACTGGCTCTCCCACATACAGGTCCACTCTCCATAGGAATCTACCACTCTCAGACTTTGCGGGGGGCAAACGACACTCTCTGATATTGTTGACTTTGCTAGTCGTTCCTCCAGTGTCACACCTGTGGAGACTAATCTCAAATCTGAACTGAATTATGAGGCCACAAAGGAAACAAAAGTTTAATTATGGTACCTCACATGGAACATTAATTTATTTTGTTATATTTTCTAAGTGAGGTAGCCTGATCAAGATATAAAGTCAAGCATACTGTACCTTTTTTTGCTCTCCTCTTCTTCCTGCCACTGCAAAGTTTGTTGTGGGATGTTTCTGGGTTTGGCCGAGGCCCCGAAGGGCCCGAGCAGAAGGGGGAGAGTGGTAAGTCATGTCCAGGGTCTGAATTTGGATTAGGGTGAGCAGTGGATAGCAAGCTAGCCAGGGTCAAGGCATGAGGGCCGCCCCCTATTATTAACACATCGAGTATCACCATCTGAAACACACACATAGGCACTACAGTTACAGGGCACAATTAAAAACGAGAGCGGGGAGGTAAGTAGTAACGTACTTTCAGAAACTGATTTGAGTCAGTTCCTCAAACTGCAACATGTCACTCTCACTCAACGGTGGTTTGATCAGTGAATAGCAGACTAGTGTTAACTTGTGTTTTGTTTAGTCATTTCAAATCATTCTCAGATGCAAACAAATTCAAACACATTTACAGCACTCCAAAAGAAGCACCACATTAATCAATGAAAGGCATAAAATATTGAGAAACTTTTTTTTCTTTTTTTTTTTAAAGTTGAGTATAGAACAACAGTAGACATTCTGGTTTTGGTAGCAAAAGAGTTTTTTGAACTCTGTGTGAGTTGATCCTAAATGCTGGAGAAGCATTTAAAAAACCTTCAAAACAATAGATTTCAATTTCAATATTATCGAGAAGTTGATTAACACTTTCATTTTTTTTTCAGCAGTGCATTTGTATGAAAAGTGTTTTATCACCCGATGCTTACATCAGTATTTAAGGTGAAATGCAGAGGTCAACGTTACTCAGCACTTTCAGGCGGACAAACATATCATGCAGAATAATAACAGTAGCCCACCTGCTGGAGTTCGGTTTATCAACATATGCCAGTTTCTGGGATGGTGGAAACAAGCTCTGGCATACTGCAGTGCATGGTGGTAGAACTGAAATTTTGCAACAGTGGCCTGTGCCTCTCATGTAACTCAATCCACCTCAGGCCCTACAGATTTAGCTGGACTTCACTGGCTCAACGGGGAAAGCTGGAAATAGCTTCAGCATGTGTGTGTTTGTATAAATTTAGTAACACAACTCATCCCCGTGTAAAAACAGTAAAGGCAGTGCACTTTATGTTTGCACACAGACAACTGTTACACGCTAAAAAATTGTTTAGATGGCATCCATTTATAAAGTAATAGTTTGACATCTGGGGAAATGCACATATCTCCACCAAGATACTGGTCCCAGTCATAAAATAGTCCAGCTCATAACCCCATGCTAAAAACACAAATTGTTGTTTTCACACTTTTTTTGTGTGTGCATTAAACAAATAAACAGGCTAGTTGTTTTCTCCGTTTACAGTATTTATGCCAAGTTAAGATAACCAGACACTGGCTGTAGCTCTCTTGGCTATTTGAAGTGCTGCTGTGCATTGTTCCAGTGAGGAGAGGCAGCGTAATCAGAGGTACAGTGTAGAGTTTTCCACTCCAATAGTGCTATGGATGTAAAAAAATACACAATTTTCAAATATTATGAGGGAGACAATTCACTCAAGAATTGTTAGACCTCAAGGAATTCAAAGTGTGTTTTAATGACAAACAATGAATGTAAACATGACTTTGTTTGGCCTCATGGCCTTCAAGATGTGGCTGAAAGCTTTGGATAAACTGTGTTAAGGTGTGGACAGAGTAGACCCAAACACAACGCTCAGGATGAACAGATTTTGATTGGGTTGAGGGAGTGGAGGTGAGGGAGAGGCGGATGCTGGGGAAACACGGGCATGGGGAACTGAGGAGACTTAGACAAGGGAGCCGGGGGCCACTGGGGACTGAAGAAGAGAGGAGGCACGGGAGAACTGACCGGGGGAGGGGGTTGGTGGAGGAGTGTGGTGGCAGGCTGACTGGCTAGGCATGGGGAAGAGCCAGGAGGACGCCGTGGAGGAGGTCCGAGGGGAGAGGGCAGGGTGGCAAGCCCAGCTGACTTGACAGAGTACGAGGGTGAGTGAACCTGGGGGAAGGCAGACAGGGTTAGACACAGGGACAAAACAGAGATGAAGGAAAAAAGGCTTGAGGCAAACGGTGGCACCAAGTCTGGAGCAACAGCGATCAAGCAGGGATTGACTGGAGAACCGGGGTTGAAGTACTGTCAGAGATGAGGCTGATTGCTGGCAGGTGTGGCAAGGCAGAGGAGGTGGCTGATGAGGTGCAGGTGCGGACTGTCAACTGGCTCAGGAGCAGAGAGAGGGGGAGAGCACACACAGGGGGAAAGCAGGAGACACAAACAGGCAGGCCAAAACATCAGGGGAAAACAGAACCACAAGCAAAGAAGAGACATAAACAGGACACTCACCGTCAGCCGGGCTGCCACCACAACAAAACTGTTACTTCCAAAGTCAAAAATGAACCTTAAAGCTCAAAATCTATCTTTTCCATCCTAATTCTTCCAAACTGATTTGTATACATATGTGTACACAGGTTTGGAGGAACGAGCACAAGGAGAAAGTTATACATAACGGTGAACCATGCATCTGCCACAGTGATGGCAACTCAAAAAAAAACGGTATCAGGTAGAAGATCACCATAATCTAATGAAAGTTAAAAAGTCAAACATGTAGGCTTCAAGCATTTTTTGTTTACTATATTTACCCTTTAATAAAATACCGTTAGTGATTTCCCTATAATAATAACCATGTGAGGCCAAAATGTAACAAAGTGACCATTACAGTTTGTGAAGAACTGTTTGTAATCTCGTCTCATCTTTCTAGTTGAATCACAGTTTATATTGTTTTCTCTCCACTATGGATTTATTTACTGTCATAGAGGAAGTAATATTCTTCTAGTAGTTCCCATGCTTAATGTGATATACTATCAATTAAACGGATTGCTGCCATTTCCTCTTCTCTCTTTTCATGATTTGGGTCTTTATGTAAATTTTTGACAGTAATGCATGTTATTGGTATTGCTAAAGAATTAAGGAAGTAAACATCAAGTAAAAGGAAAAAGGTGTTTTATATGAGATCTTTGCAAAACATGATTTTGTTTGTGAGAGTGAATAACACAACTTTTCTGGTAACCTTTCATTAGTCAGACCTCTTCTACTGTGATTCTTTACAAGTAGAAAATCTACATTAACAGTAAATTATGAATTCTTGGTGCTCCATATATGTCACAAGCTTTGTTTTAAATGATACTGTACACTGAGTCCCCTTTTGATTTAGGACTACTAATCTTCAGTGACTTCCTCATCTGACATCAGTTCCCCATCAGTGACACCTCATTCCCACTTCCCTTTCTGTTCATGCAAAGCAGAAGCACAAACACAGTGAAGGCTTTAAAAGACGGCCACTATCATTGGTGTCAGCTTCACTTTTATCAGCATTACCAGCCGTGGACACCACAGCACCATGGATCTGACGGTGGGTGACAAAATCTGTCTTTGACAGTGAGCACCGCTCTATGAGAAATACATTTTGAAAGATATGATTGACTATGTTGTTAAGAGAAAATGTGTTTATTTATTCCTAAATGACAGGATTCACTGGTTAAGGGAGGCGTGCTGATCGTCCACCAGATCCATGAAGGAAAGCACCAGTATCACGTAGAAAATGTGGTCAAGTACAAAAAAGGAAGTGGAGAAAAAATGTTTGTCAGGTATATGTCAGACACTGGAACACTGATTAGTAGTTTCTCAGCAACTAACAGACTAACAAAAACATTTTTTCAGTGCTTGTAGCAAATGTATGGAGTCTCTCAGAAAACCCCATTTATTGTGTCATAGGCTAAGAATAATTGATCATCTTATTTGTTTAGCACTTTTCGAGCACAGACCACAATGTGCTTTCCACTGAATGGTGGAACTGAATTTTAAAAAATACATTAACAAATAAAAAACTAACAAAAGAAAGCAAGATACTGTACAATATGCTGTAAAAACAATAGCATTGAAGAAATGACACAAGACATAGACAGGACATAAAAAAACTCATTCTGCTTCTCTAAAAGTAAAGTTTATAAAAAAAAACAGTCTAATAATTATTTCATCACAGTCAGTTATGGCACATAAACAAGATCAATGCGATTATTAAAAAGAAACAAACTCTGAAAGACAAGCAGGCAAATTTAAAAAAAAAATGTGTTTTTGTTTGTGATTTTAAAGCTTAGATAGTGCCTGCAGAACAAATATTAACTGGAAGACTGGCTACTACTCTAAAATACTACCACTTTCTAATAAGGCATACTTTCTAATAGGGTTTATGAATCATATGTGATGGTTTTATTAACTTAATTAACTTGCAATTACTTGATGAATGGATTTCTTAATCTTCTACATTGATAAACAAATTAACTATGAAGAGAGATAAAGCATGTACTCGAGTGTGTGCGTACCCGCGATTGATCCACATCCATCAACCTATGGATGCTTATTTTCATTTTACCAGTGTCTCCAGGCAGAGGAAAGTCCAGCGCTTCTCAGTGCATCACAATGGCCCCTGTGAACAGGCTCTGGCACTAGTGTTTATTAACATTTCTGTTTTTTCTCAGGAGAGGAGACACATTGACACAGATAAATGGCATGGACCTTCAGAATGTCACACCTGATGAGTTCGCAAAAATGTTAGCTGGGGGTAATCCATTGCTGGTGAGTTCATGGGCTTCCACAGTCTTGCACACTGAACATCTTTAAGGTAAAGTTTCTATTTCAGACTCTATTGTATTCTCTATTCCATTTCAGTTCTGCTTATTGACAATACATTAACTATAGTGTTTAAATTGTACAAAAAGATTATTTTTTATTAAATGATTATATTGCAATGGAAATTAGTCAGCATGACATGACATTGCACTGCCTACATTTAGGTATTCACCAGAGGACGAACATCCATTGTAACTTTGGTAGTAGCTGTAGGTGTTTGGAAGTGGATTGTCACACAACAATAATATATGTTTATTATATGCTTATTATCTGAATTATATGATGTAAGGTGACCTTGAGTGCCATGAAAGGCGCCATTTAAATTAAATGTATTTTTATTATTAATAACATACATGGGGCGACTCAGGAGATAGAGCGGGTTGCCCGTTAATCAGAAGGTCGCCGGCTCCTCCAGGCTGCATGTTGAAGTGTGCTTGGGCAAGATACTGAACCCTGAATTGCACCTAGTGGCTGTTCCTCCAGTGTATGAATGTGTGTGAATGTAGTTTCTGTTTGAGCACTTAGGCTCAGTGTATGAATGTGTGTGAACGGTGAATGCGATGTAGTGTAAAAGCGCTTTGAGTGGTCGAAAAGACTAGAAAGGCCGGAGCATTTACATTTACAATATGTCAGACACAAAGAGACATAGAGTCAAAGCCAAGTCTGAACCCACATCCACTTCTAACTCCCAGACGGTGCACAAGGACAGGAGGATGAAGGAGCACACTGAGCAGCCCTGCCCGAATGAGAACACTTTATATCCCGTCTCCAAGGAGTCCAGAATAATCAGTTTCAGCATGGAGATGAGGAGGGAAGAAGACTTAGAGGAGAATGAAGTGGGGAGGAAGAAGGAGGATGATGTAAGGGAGAATGGGTGTATAGAGGAGGAGGTTTGCCAAGCTGAAAATGATGAGAATGGGGAGGGAAGGGATCTGCTCATTATTTCCATGATGAAGACCAGCATCTCTGTGGTGAGAGGGAGGGGCTGCGACACCGAGAGCCCCTGTCAGGGATGTCATGGGACAGGATGCACTTTAAATGACGTTGTCATGGTGGCAGAAACCAGCACGGTGACGCTTGGTAAGTAGGTTCGGTTTTATTCCTCTGTGTTCTCTCTTTCACTCTTCTCTTTTGGGCTAATAATATCAATTACATAAGTGAGTAAATTACCATAGTAAGGTTTAATTTAATTATAATATATTTCTGAAAATACAAGATATTTCTTCTTCTGGGTCTTCTTGAACATTGAAACAAATAAAATAACAACCACAGGTGGAAGAAGTATTCAGGCCTTTTACTTAAGTGAGTAAACAAATCATTAGAACAATGTAAAAATAATAAAAATAATAAAGTATCAGCTAAATTTACTTAAAGTATCAAAAGTAAAAGCACTCATTCTGTAGAAAATGAGCCCCTGTGAATGATACATTATTTTGACGTTATTGTATTGTATTGACGTATTAATGTGCATGACTGTTGTTTGTCAAACAGCATAAGGGGAACACAAGGGATAGGATCCAGACGCTGACTCAGGAGGCAAAGCAGGTTCAACGATTTAATGAACACCACCAAACAAACCAAAAAATTTAAAATACAGGAAAAAGCAGGAAGTAAAGTAATACAAGACACATGAAGAAGGATGTTTTCAAAATAAAACACAAAATAACAACTCAAAACCAAAACTGTGACACCCCCACTGCTTGTTTAGTAACAAGTCACACGTTTGAACCACTGCTTTAATCTTTAAAAATGTATTGTGTTTTATCATATGGCATATATTTCAAATGGAAATACTCAAGTTAAGTAGGCTTCTCACTGTGGACTTTGGACCACTGTCTCAGGAAAACTGGAGAATAACATTTCACCAAAAAGTGTCCTACTTCTTCAGCTAAATAAACCAACCAGAAAAACCCATTGGAATATCTGAAAAAAATCATACAGCTGAAAATAGTGTTTTTGTTTTTTACTCATAAAAAGTTGACCTCTTGTGGACACCTGGGTATAGACAGGTCAAGAAAACTGAAGTTACTGTTAAAATGCATCATTATGTATTTAAACCTGATTAGAGAGCAGAGCTATTTAAATGTTCCCTGTGTCATTTTCAGTTCCAAGAGGAAGCGAAAGTTTCAAACAGGAAAAGCAGAGGAATGTTTCAATTAAACATGTGGCCACTCACCAATATCTCAGAGTTCTTTGTTCGCAAAAGATCATCTATGCTTCACCGAATCCGGGTTTGTATCATGCAGCAACATGGCATTTTAATGACAGTAATGACAGTAATCACAGATGAGTTTTCATTTCATATTCTCCATTCTGTAAATAACATCACAGAGTATGGTCTAGAACTGCCCTTTTATGAAAAGCGCTGTGAGATAACTGTTGTTGTGATTTGGCGCTATATAAATAAAAATGAATTGGATTGAATTGAATTGATTTCTTTACACATAGTTCACTGTTCAAAATACTCTGTAATGGGAACTGATTTGTGAAATTCCTTGTTTACATTATTGTTTTGTAATTTCTTTTGTGTTCAGAGAAGATCACCATCTACTACTACAAGTCAATCATTCTGGAGAGGTGTTTCAGAGGATTGCCAGTGGTCCTAAACTTGACTGAGTCCAACTGCTTCCTCAGGTGTTGCATGGAAGGGGAGAGGGCACTTCTACAAGTGGAGGTAATAAATAAATTTACACATTAGATCTAACCTGTTTCATACAGTTCTAAGTCACATGGAAACAGACGTTTGAGGTAATTCAGAGGCAAGAAAAGACATGAAAATGTCAACAACTTAGAATAAAGTTTGTGAAAATTCTATATTTTAAGCCATGTTTGCAGCATGGCTTGATGGATGGCACTGTCGTCCACCACTTTGGTCCAGACTGAAATATCTCAACGGCCAATGAACAGATTAAGAGGAAATTCTGATGGAATGATGACGTTCATGGTCCCTAGAATCCTCTGACTTTTCCTCTAGCGCCACCATGAGGTTGATGGATTGCCATGAAATTTGGTATATTACAGTATCAAATTTAAATTATGAAATGTTTACCTGATGATGGTACTGGATATAAAGGTCATTAGAATTTTTCACCTGGGAACCATAAATGTATTTGTACAACAAACGAAATGTGGGACAGTCCATCTGGTAGATGATATTTCACTAGATCAGTTAAATGTTTCACTCCAGATGAAAAGTCAGAGTATCACCAAAGTTCAATGCATCCTAATGGCAACATGAATGTAATTTTAATGGCAATAAATCTAAATATTGTTGAGATATTTCAGGCTGGTGCTAAGTTGTTGACGGACCAATAGACAGACCAACATTTGGCTCAACATCTCTGGCTAAAACACTTGGAAATTAGCTTTGAATCTAAATCAAATGACTCTTAACACCAGTGATGGGAGACTTGACTCAGACACAAGCGACTTGAAAGACTCGATCCTGTCTACAAACCTAAGTGGAAAAATCTTTGTTGGCTGAACAGCTTATTCATAGACAAAGCACATGTTTACCCCAGTAGCCTATAGATTTAGTAGGTCTACTTGAAGATCAGTAGCACTTTTTTGATGTAGATTTACTCTATAGTGTCTGTTGAAAAAAAGGGAAGTGTTGCTGTCAAATGAGAGTTTCATTCATTGAAATACAACAAACAAATCACTGGAAATAGTTACGTTTGTGTTTTTTAAATGCCACTGATTTGTTTTTTAAACAGCCCTCATCCGTTTTCATTTTGTTCACTAACATGTCAAATCTGACTATGTGTGACAACTTAGGTTTGGAATAGTCTGCATTCAATCATTAATTTAATCGTTAATTTTATCCTTTTTTTCTAAAACAATTTTATAATTTTGATTGCATATTTATCATGTATTTATTGTGCTTTTCTAGCATTATTTATTTACTTATTTATATACAACCATTTATTACTGATATGTGATTTGTGGTATATTGTGCTGTGTTTCTGGAATGTGAACGGTACACGCACTGATGCTCAGCACAAATGAAGTTCCTAACGGACAAATAAAGTTCTTTGAATTGAATTGATACTGAATATTGTGTTGCTGGTATCAAGATTTTGAAATCGTGTTTGTTGAAGAATACATTAGGATCTGCGTAAAACTCAAAATCCAAGTGTAGGATTAAGAACTTGGGATATCAGCATGCTAACATGCTCAGGCAGTGACAATGCTAACATGCTGATGTTTAGCAGCTATAATGTTTACAAGGTTTACTGTCTTAGTTTATCATGTTAGTATGCTAACAACATGCTAATTAGCACTAAACACAAGTTGAGACTGATGTGACTGTTGGTTTTGCAGGTATTTGGTCGTAAAAGAATTGAGAAACAAAGAAAGCACATATTTTGACCTGAGGCGCTAGACGAAAAGTCAGGGGAATCACCAGAGTCACTAGGATTCATACTGTGTTGTATGGAATTTTTATTTCATGAGTTTAACAAGCTGATTATTATGATTTTGACAATTGTAAGCAAAGTAATCATCTCACTGCCAGGATGATCTCGCAGGCACTTGTTCTCTCTGTGATGCATATTCACACATTTGTTGTTTCAGACATGCGAAAAGCAGAGGCTAAAGCAGATCTCCAAGAGCGATGAGAGTACCCTGTCTTTCCTCTTCTACATGACGGGTGATCGCACCAAACAGCTGAAGTTTGAGTCAGCGCTGTACAGCGGCTGGTTCATCCATATCGTCAACACAGACTCAGTAGAAATGGGATGCCTGGATGGAGGGAAGGAAGACGATTCATTCCTCTTCATCATTCAGAAGTGATGGAGAGTCACTTCTTTCAGGCGTGTAGTTCTCAGTCAAATCAGTTTTACATTTAAAATTCTCTTGTTAACTTTATCTGGATCTTGAAGATGATATTAAACAAAAGAAAACCATGAAATTAGCTCTTTTGCTTGAGCAACCTGGTCCAGTGACAGAAACCCATGTCACTGTTTCAAATTCTGCTATTGCAGAAGTACGTAGTTATGTATCATACAACTATATTCAATTCAGAAAATGTGTATGTGTGTGTAAAGTCCACTTATATATTTTAATATGTGACATAATTTTTCATCAATCAGTTTTTTTGTTTAAAGTGGACATTTAAGCTGATTGTTTTTTGGGTTTTCTAATGTACATAATATAGTAAAACTATAAACATAAACGCATTGTATTAACAAAAGCTCAAACATTAATTGATTTCTGAATGACAGGTTATATAATGTTTTATGTACTGTATACATGTATATTTGAGGATATTTGGATGATCCTTTTAATAACACATCCCACTCTTATATACTCTTGAATGTTATATTTTTAGCCTTTGCTCACATAATGTCAATGTATTGCTCTTCTATTAGCACACTGTGATCTTTGACCACCCAAAATGTATACACATATTTTAGGTGAGTAATAAAATGTCATTGGAAATGTGTATACAACACTTTCCTTCTTTTTTTTTGAAAAGTCAACATTTCAGTAATAGACATTTTCAATAAACTAGTAACTGAATACTTTATTTTATATTATTTTTTTATGCACCTACTTACCAGGTGTGCATTGTTAACATTTAATTAGATTTTTTAAAACAAGCAAAAGTATCAAATATTACAAAGCTGTCTGAACATCAAATATTAAATATTATAAAGTAATATAATATAGTAATATTTTGAATTATATAAAAGTAATATTCTTTTTGTACTGAGTATTAATGATAATGGTAACTAACACTGTACAACTTAAAATAAAGTTATAATTGTACTTAAATATACTTTGTTGTACTTGAGATAGGCAAAGTAAGCAGTATTTGCAGTTTATTTAATGTATATTAATATTTATCCAAAATACATTAGATGTTATAATTTAAGTATACACAAAGTAAAAGAAAAATGTCCATTATTTTTACAAAATGTATACTTAAACACACTTAATTATAAAAACATGTTAAGTTGTACTACCTGTATATTGTTTATTCACTAAGTTTGTCAAAAATAGAACACTTTCAATACATTCTCATGGAAGTATACAATTAAATATACTTTTTTTTACAAAGGTATTCACTGTACAATAACTGTCTGTGATGGTCAAAATCCCCAACAAACTAAATCTTTCACTCAAACATATTTATCAGTTATGTTGATGTTTGATAAGAGGCCATGCAGCACTGGTGAATGAGAGAAAGTCGTTTTAAGAGCAAGATCTTCACTTTCCCATTCTAGGACAGTGACTATGAGTCTCCTGTATGTAAGCACCTCTGTTCTTCGGTCACTGCAGTGGACTCAGAATCCAGTTTGCTCATTGTCATTCTCCTCAAAGGCTTTGTTAGTTTGTCCTTCAGGATTTGTATCATAAGGATTCTCCGTGCCTGTCTTTGCAGATTTCCTGAAAACACACAAGAAACAACATGTCTCAGTTATGCAAGTAATTGGACCAACATGGTAGAAATGGGTCTCAGTCTTGAGAGCAAGCACTCACTTTTTGCGCTCTCTGGCACCAGAGATGATGAGGTAGACACCCGCTAGCACCACGATTCCCATTACCACCCCAAATACCACCAGCCACACCGTCACTGGCTGCTCCACGGGAGGGGCTAGTGTTGGTGGGATACCCACAAACTCCAGCGTCCTGTCATCCAATTGGAAGGCATCGTTGATTCGGCCTCGACACAGCCTGCGATCAATATCGAACTGGGGTTTATTATTGCTCACACCTATTAAATGTACTTGACAAATTGAAATTTGCCCTGTTAATGTTGCTAGATGAAAAGTTGAGGGATAAACACATTTGTGGCTAAATGGGTGTCATAGTGGTGCTAGATTCATTGTCTGGGAACCATGAATCCCTGTACAACGGTTTGATCTAATCCATCAAGTAGATGATGAGATATTTAACTGGATAAATGAAACACTTATCACACACCCTACTGGTGGTGCAAAAAAAGTCAGAGGAGCACCAAAGTCACAAAGATTTATCCTCTGGGAACCATGAATGTTGTTACAAAAGTTTGTGCCAGTCCATTTAGTAGTTGGTGAGATATGTCAGTCTGGACCAAAATGGTGGTCTCACAGACACTAGCATCACTGAAAATCATTCAAAATAAATTTAATTTGCTTGGCTTTTACAGCTGCTTAGGAAGTCTGTGAAACTTTGAGGGTAAAACAAAACAAGTATATTGCACTTAGTGTTTTGGAATATACTGTGTATAAACAAAATACACTGCCTTACCGTATGGCAGCCTCCACATCATGCTTTGGGATATATACGGAGGGATTTGCTGGGTTGGTGACCACAATGTAGAAAGAGATTCTGGGAGTCTCCTTATAAGTGAGGACGTTCTCTGGTCTGCAGGTGCAAACCAGGAAAAGTTCTCAAACAAATGTGGTAACAAAAGAAAGTCAGAGGAAAACAAGCATAAAGTATCTATAAGTATATATTTGGTTTGGCAGATACTGACGTGAAGAGAAGTATCTCGTTCTTTTGGCTGTAGTACTGCCTCAAAGCATACGCAATGTTGGCCTTGAACAGGAACAGCTCGTTGGCGTTCCAGGAATACTGAAACACATTTTAGCTGGTAAATATTTGCCATGATATGAAACAGACTGAACTTCACTTCAAAGGTGCAAAATTAATTTCATGTGTAGTCATATAATGTAATAATACTTCTAAAAATTATTAATAATACTCACAGCGCTATCCCCCATGGCAGCCTTCAAACTTACTCTCACTTTAATGGCATACTCAGAATCTGTAAAAGAAACACATTTCTCGCTTCCTATTTTCCATATTTCATCAAATCATTCACCAAATGTGGTAGTTAAGATAGTTGGCATACCCCAATCACAACTCGTGTATTTAATTTTGCTTAACACCTACTGTTAGTACATTTTTATGCAGTGGCAAAAAACACTTTAACTGCCAGAACTCTTGAATGCATCATCAGCAGTTTTGTTTAACCTGCACAAACAGGTACAGCAAACAAGTCTATGCAATTTGATACAATTTCATAGATGGGAGGTGTAAAAGTATACATTGAAATTCTTTGGTCATTGATATATTCAAACTCAATACACAGGTGCCCCCTGGGCATGTGCTTGATATGCTGCCAGTAGCACCACCATGTGGCCAGTTATAAAGCATTTTGTGTTTTCTCATAATTCATAAAACATAGGGTATTGAGTAAAAATTCTCCTTGCTCTGTACGGTATCACAGCAGCAGCAGCAGGCTGCAATTTGCTGCTGCATTCAGGAAATTGCCTTTCTAATAAATTAATGAGTTTTGTTTTGGTTTCATGCAAATACATGTCTTGAAAACCCTAGTGACTGAAGTCATGGTTTTCTACTTCTTTAAAATTTAGGGACTTTTTTTTACTTCAGTGCCCTTTTGTTAAGAAGCACAGTTATTATGTAATGGTAACAGAGTTCTTTGTCCTGTCATACAGTTTAAAGGCCTTGCTCAGGGGCACCTTTGGCCGTGGTCCGTGCAAGACTCAAACCGGTGACCCTCTGGTTTGCAAGCCAAGTCCCCACAAACTGAACTAATACCGGGAAAGAGAGAAATACACTTATTTGCTTTTTTTGCCAAGTGTTAGATGAAAAGATCATTACCTTGTTTAATCTAAACAAAAACCAGTGTAAAAATTAAACATTGTGGTTTTAGAGTAGGTAATGGTTGCTTTCCAAACTCATGGTGACAACAAGACTCCAGTTAATTACTGGGCAAGAAATAGTCTAGTACATAACCCCCAATAAAACATTGTGTGTTGTTTTTACATTTTGTTTTTTGCTAAGGTATGATATGTTAATTACTGAGCTTTAGTGGGGTTGGAACAGAGTTACACTAGCTGTTTCCAGTCTTTGTGCTAAGCTAAGCTGACCAACTGCTAGCGGTAGAGTCATATTTACCATATAGACTTAAGAGTGCCTTTCATCTAACCCTTGGCAAGAAAGCAGATGAGCATATCACCCAAAATGTCTGTTACTTTTAAAATCTATTTTCATTTTAGAGGTAATATTCTTAAATGTGAGTATCACTGGTACTCACATGGATCTACTGATGACTTCCAGCCTACAGTCCTGTTGTGTTTCATGTTCTCTTTCTTCAACCAGTCATGAAGTTTTTGGAAGTAGTCCAACAGGGGGCGGGCGTCCATCTTAACGTCACCGGATATCGTATTCAAAGCCCTGGTCCAGGACTGAGACCTTCCCAGCTTTAACATATTCCTAACAGAAAACAGTGATGATGACGATGAAGATGACGATGATGATGATGATGCTGATGATGATGATAAATTACTGCTGCATTTATAAGCATGTACTACAGTGTAATATAATATGCTACATCAATAAAGAAATGAAACATTATCTCTCTTTTTATTTCAAATGGTTAGATGGAAAATAGAAAATGTGTTGTGTCTATCACAAGAATAACTAAAACAACTACATATCATTCTGTAAAAGCCTTTAAAGAGGGACAGGAAGTTGTCCTTACTTCAGCTTGGTTCCTGCTGCAGTAGAATTTGTAATGTCACATGATGACAAGGCATCCGTATGACCAGCCACACCGCAGAGCGCTTTTTGGAACTGAAACTGGTAGATGGTTCTTGTGAAGTACCTGTATACACAACCACACACACACACACACACATACACACAGGTGATAGCAGAACAGGTGCACTTGTTTTCAATCTGAACCCTATTTATTATTTTTCTCTATCTCCCTGTCCAGGGTGTACCCCGCCTTTTGCCAGATGTCAGCTGTACGCAGGATAAGATGGATGGACTCTCTATCTCTCCATCTTGTGTGTGTTAAGTGTGTGCATGCAGCTAATTGGCACAACCAACCAAGAGTAAATCTCAAATATATCCAAAGCATATCTATTTACTATACTGAAAGTCAGTCAAAAGAAATACTCTCAGGCTTTTCTTAAGTTATACCATTTTGGTGTTAGCTTGAATATTTGACTATTTCAGCATTCTTGTTCACTTTCTACCCTTCAGCTTGCAAGTGGTCACATCATGAATAATTAAAAATGTAATATAAACAGATCCCATTACATGGTAACTGAATATGTTTAAATGAATATCATATTTGTGTCTTTTGGGTATTACAGTACTAAACAATTGCCAATTAAAACTAAAAGTTTTACCATAAGTAGCTCTCTAGTGGAGCGGTTGGCATGATTTTGAGCAGAACTGAACAGTTTAATAATAAATTAAAAAGCAAAATAACATGCACATAGTAACTGAATGCAGTAGTTAATCAGAAAACAATATTAAGGACTGTTACATGTAAATGTTAAGAAATGGTTGTGCCCCAAACACTAATGTTTCTTGTACCCTGGCTCATGGCCAAACTTTCCACCAAATTTCAGTGAAATGCATAAATACATTTTTAATACAGAACAGAAAACATACAGTAACCTTTGATTTAGAAACTGCTTTGGCAACATTCATGCCAATAAAGCACACTGAACTGAAATGAACCTTCTTAGCAAAGCTGCTTTTGAGAAAATCCAGGTTCAAACTATCTGAAGATGTTGTGCTTCTTTTTCCTTGAAGTCCAGCTTTACAGTGGGAGTTTTACCTGATGAAAGAATAGTCTCCAGATACATGGAACAAAGCAGGCGGGTCACAGTAGGTCTCATCTCTTGGCACAGGCTCCACCACCCCTACCAGCTCCCTCCTGTTATGACAACAGAGAGTCAATACTGATGCAGGCTGTATCCACAGACCTGCAGTGAAGCAGCCACTGAGGTTACACAACATTAAAATCCACGATATTTTTCTGCAGTATGTCCACTGTTGATGTCATGACCGCATTTGATTACAGTGATTACCCGCGGAACATTTTTATTTACAGATGCTTCATATATGTCTCGGCTTACTTCATCTCCCACCAGCGCTCCATCCATTCATCCTTGCTGATGTTCCCTGCAAACACCTGCCACCTCCATTCCTCCAGCATGTAGGTGAATGGCAGCGTGGCCACGATGGTGAGTGCCTGTTTCAGCAGGAAGTTGATCTCGGTTTCTGCAAGGCACACAAAAAGGTTTATGTTATAGAAAGTGCAAAGGACAGGAAGCTGCCTGTTTCTGTGTCAAATTTTAGAAGTTAGTTCTGGAGATCATTTTTTGAAGTGTGTAGCAATCTGCATTCTATTTATGACACAGATGTCAGGCACTGTAAGGAAATTACAGTTTGTATAACATTTAGCAGAGGACCCAAGGTCATGTTAAGCTTGATTGTCTGGTTTCAGTGGGGCTGAAGCTATTTTTATCCTACATGCCATTCAAGGGCAGAAACCCAGAGACACATTACTCATACCTACTCTGGTCTGTTCAGACTTTTATATATATTTGCCAATGTTGGGTGAAAACTTTGGATTGTGTCTCTGTAGCCAGGTAAATGATTCACTGTCCCTCATGGATTAAGAGAATATTCATCAAATCCATGTTAACAAAAATCTCAACAAAGCTGTCAGGGGCTGTGAAACAAGGCTGGGTTATTCAAGTTAAACCTGGAATAACTGATTTTTTGGCCACTTCATGGCAGGAAATGGAAATGCTAAAATGTTAAAGCTGAGTCTATGGCATCTGATGAAATGTCCAGTACTCACTTTCCTTTAGCTCTGTTTTGGTCTCCACTAACTCCTGTGGGAAATATTTGGCTCTGCTATGTCACCGGCTATTTGCTAATTGTGTCTGTCTGCTGTTTGATGCTTGGCAGGTAGTGTGCAGTGAGTTTTTGTTGCTGCTGGAAATGACACTGAAAGTTAGGGGCCGGAACAATTCGCTGAAAGATGCCAAAACGCTCCACAAAGTTAAATGGAATCTCTGATTCAGGTGATTATTCTCTGTGGGTTACTACGACCTCTTTCATGTACACATAGACCCCATTTACACTTCATGTTATCTTATAACGCAAGGAGCGGGGCTGCACTGCGTGTGCACGAGCAGTTTTTGACACTGGCTCTGATTGGTTGTTTTGACCCAGGAGCGGTAGATTCTTGCAAATGGCATTAGGAGCAGTAGGAGAAGGAACCAGATTTTATCTGTGTCGTGTACTACTGTCAGAATATAGTTTTAGGAAAAATATTTTTTTGGTTTGATAATTGTCAGCGTAATCTACATCAATAGTACCATTATCATAAATGAAGTCAGCAGGCAGGAGGTTCAGGCTCTTCAAGTGTTTCGGCGTTGCAGCAGAGAGGGACATGATTTCTCCAACAGCCTCATGGAAACCCTCATTGGCTCCGTCCCTCAGGAGGTAGGACAGGTTACGGTAAGCCATCTGGTACTGGTTGTGACCCATCTCATGGTGCGCTGTGAGGAAGTCGTCCATGTTGACCTTGGTGCACATTTTGATTCTAGAGACACCACAACAGAAGTGTTGGTGTCAGCAGTTATAATGTGTGACACAGTCGTGGTATGATGCCTTATCAGATATAATGTACCCATAAACAGCGCAATAACATGTTTCTGATGAGTCAGATGTAACAAACATTGAAGCCCAAGTTCAATAAAAAAAATCAAGTCCTTGTTTAAGGAGACAGGTGGAGTAACAAGGTTTTACGGAGAATGTGTAATTAATGTCATTTTAACCCAAACTGACACTTAAGGAGCCAATAAAACCTGACTTTTGAAAAGAGACACTCAAACCTCCAAAAACAGTGACTGTTGGAACAGCTATATGGATTAATATTTGACAACATAAAGACTTTGGTTGTCTTTATCAGCAGGAAAGAATAACTCTGAGATTAATCAATATTGTTGTTCCAGTAATTTAATATTTATGGCTCTCATATACCGATATAGAGATAGATTACTCTTCTTATACAGCACAAAAAAAAAATCATCTCACGTGTAAATAATTTTATTAATAAGAGCTACTACATGTCTAAGTCAACTATCACAGATGTAAGCATTATAATTATACTGAACAAAATTATAAACGCAACACTTTTGTTTTTGCCCCATTCATCGTGAGCTGAACTCAAAGACTTTCACTATGTGAGAAAAAACAAAAGTGTTGCGTTTATAATTTTGTTCAGATGCACGTGAATATGTGCTTGTCTGTGGATTTTACAAACCTAAAGTCCTTTTTGTTTCCCATGTCCCAGGCTGTGGGGTGACAGACCACCTTGCGTCCATCCTCAGGCTTAACCAGCATGGAGTCCTTCCAGAAGTTTGGGAACATCTCATAAAGGCCCACAGACATGAAGAATTTCTCTGCTTCTTTGAAAAGCCGAATCTCATCCCAGCCCTGAAATTCAAGTCGACATTTTGAAGACGGTCTATGTTCCAATGTAGGATTTTAATGTTTGCATGCACTATATTACAAACATGTTTTAAATATCTAATATATGTTATATGCTGTATTGTCATCAGTATTGTTTCAATACCACAATCAACGGGTATGATTAAATGTTTGATTGAGTAACGAACAGAAGATGTATGAAGCTTGCAGTAGCTGAATAGACATTAGAAAGCGTTGTGGGGAAGCTACGATAGGGAAATCCGCCGTAGCACCCAGGCACGACGGACCCCTATAAACCTATGGAGAGGAGGAAGGGCAGGACAGAGAAAGGGGTGGGAGGGAGGGATGCAGGATAAGAGGGCGAAGGGGAGGACTTAGGACGTGTGGGTATTTATGGAAATGCTGGCGATGACGCGCTTGATGCTTGGTCCCGCACCTGAAACTCTGCTAATTAGCACCACTTAATGTACAGAAAGAAAAAAACAGAATCAACTTAATTGTACTGTACCTTGTCCACCATAGTTTTGCTGACATCAATATCTGGTTTGTCGGGGTAGGGGATTGACAGAGGGTACAGGTTGGTCCAGAATCTTCCCCACATGTCACCTGAGCAATGAACATAAAGGCTAATTGTTTTTCACTCTAAATACCCTGAGTAGATGCTGAAATGTTCTTCCTAATGTTGATGATCATAGTAAGGTGTGTGTTTAGACAATCCCTTTCAAAGGGAGGTGTCTATATATATATATACATATTACAAATACTACATTCTGTGTATTACATCTGTTGCTAAAGCTTCAAAATACCCTTCGAATGCCCACTAATCAGAAGCTACATAAGTACAGTCAATTTTACATGTAAAGCTCATTTTACAAGTTGTCCCTCATGATGTTAAGACCTGGACAACAGAGGGAGCCATACACAAGTCTGGACTGGGACTTACATGAAAATTCAAATCTCACTGCTCTGAAGCTGAATTCTTTATTACACTGATTACACTTTAAATCACACCACTGTCACTTTTGCCTTGTGATTTCTCTTTAATTGCTCTGGTATTGTTTCTATTTTTACTTCTATTCTTCATTGAATTATCTTATTATTTGAATTTTATTACACTGTACTTTTTGGGCGATGGCCCAACGGATAAGACCATGCCTTTGGTGTGAGAGACCCTGGTTCAATCACCCACTGTGACCCATCCACCATTGTGTCCCTGAGCAAGACACTTAACCCCTAGTTGCTCCATAGGTGTGAGACCTCTGATATGTATAGCAATTGTTGCTTTGGATAAAAGCGTCAGCTAAATGAATAAATTAAATTAAATTTATCTGTACTTATTTCTGTCCTTGTGCTCCTCCAACAACCACATTTCCCCTGCGTTATCTTATAGTGTGACATACTGTAGATATTTCTTAACTGCAGTGATTTCCTGGTGAGTTTGTCTCTCGTTATAACAATATAACAAACAATAATAACAATTTAAAAAATATATAATAATAATAATAATAATAATAATAATAATAGCAACAATTAAAACTCAATGTAATTATGATATATAGAATGCAATATACAGAAAGAATGAAAAAACAGACTGCTGAGACATAATCATAAATGAATACAGTGTTCCGAAATTAAAATATCAATTTAGCAAAGGGATTTCTTAAGTTATTTGTATGCTATGGATGATAATCAGAGAGGCCAGCAAGTGAAAAATTTCATTGTGCAGTGCAACTGTTTATGACAATAAAGCATGAATATTGAATCTTTAGTGATAATGAATCTCATGATGCTTTTGACTATGTGATGTTTATTTCTTGACTATGAAGCATTTCTGCCCCAAACTCAATCAAAAGAAACTAATGGTAAAAATGGTGATGCCTCTGACAGGACTGAAAATCCTCAACATACCCAGCAAGTGGGCTGGCAGAGGTCCTTCTGAATCAATTTTGCCTTTGTAGACCTCTATAAGCCTGGCTCTCACATAGGCATGCAGGTCCTTGTATAAGGGCAGGATCTGGGGAAAAAAACCCAACAATAAATCACTGTTTTTACACAATCAACAAACTATACATTGTTACTCTAGAATGCAGATGCTATGAAACATGAGACATGCAATCCACTAACATGGACAGATAATCAACCTGTTTGTATATAGAACGGACGTCTTCCATCAGCTGATTTCTGGTATACTTGTACCGAATTTCCTCCTCAATGGTCTCATAGTTATATCTCCAGTAAGCTCCATAGTCTTCAAAACCTGTAAGAGTTTGCATGACAGGGAGGAACAGAAAAAAGAATGCATGAGACACAAATTTTACTTTAAAAAACAGAGTTTTCTTTCAGTTTTTTGGGGGGGGAATTTTGCTTACTATCTTTTGCATGGCAATGTAAGCCATGGCACTGCTAGTATGACATGGCTCAGAGGTTATGACAGTGGTAAACCCCAAGCTACTGAAGCCATGGTGTGTTGTTTGTTTTTCGGAGGGTCCGTGATACACAATCACTGAGCACTATCAGCTCAAAATGCTCGTTCTGTGTCCTATCAGACATGATCTACACCCAGCCACAATCTTGAACATTAGCTTATATCCTTTCTTGATAAACTTGTAGTCTGTGTTCAAAGATTGAGGTCAAAGTGCTTCCATTATATGTAGCTTCTCTGTTGTTCACACATTGAAGATATTAGTCATCTTTACAATAATACGTCAAAACATCAGACATCAAACTACATCAAGTGGCATATTTTCTTTGAGCCATATCACCGTTTAGTTTGGAAGCTTCATTCTTCAGATCCACATAGTCCTCGTACAGAGGCCTCATCCTCTTCCCCACCTCTCTTCTCCAGCCCTCCCACACATGCAGACGCTCAGAGTAGTTTTGGCTGTTGGCCATGATGTGCTCCAGGCCTGTAAACAGAGGAACACATCTCAGATTAATGTTTGTCTTTTCGTTAAATAAAAAAACAAAACAAATGCAACCAGAAAGTTTGCACTAAAACAAGTATGATAGTGGTGGAATGTAACTACGTACATTTACTCAAGTACGGTACTTTTACATTCCACTACGTTTTAGAGAGAAATATTGTACTTTTTACTTCCCTACATTGATCCCATACTTGTTACTTTTCAGTTCATAATTTTATGTGTAAAACATTTTCAGTTTATAATAAATAAACTACCGAACATTATAACAAGTTGTTAAAATTAGCTCTGACTAAGCAACATTAAAATTCTGCTTACATGCACACATCAATGATAATATTCTAATAATATATACTGTATCTGATAAATATAACAAACTGAAACTCAGTTTTGCATAATTAGTACTGTTGCTTTTGATACTTTAAGTACATTTTGCCACCAATACTTCTGTACCTTTACTTAAGTAAGATTTTGAGTACAAGACTTTTAGTTTACACTGTGGTATTGCTACTTTCACTTAAGTAAAAGAAATCAGTACTTCTTCCATAGATAGAGGTGTTTGAGAGTGCCTATATAATATTCTCCTAGAAATGTATCAAAGTACATGTCCATGTTCTGCACAAGCAGCATTTTACTGGCAGTATTTTACTGTTGTAGCTGGTCAAGGTGAAGCTAACTACTATGTTTTGCACCACAAATCTGTATTATTATTATTATTATTATTATTATTACTTTTGCTGTTTTGTGAAATATTGGATAATTTTTAACTCTTTGCTTTTGGATATTTGTGTAAATGAAACCATCTCAGAAATATAAAAGAAAAAGGTCTCTTTGGTGGAACTGCTAACATTTCATAGACATCTACAGGGGCCAAAACTATACAGTACATAGATTTTTTTGTACATGGCCATGAGTCAAAAGACTGGCAACCACTGGTTTAATCTTTAAAAGGCATTGCATTTTAAAAGATCATCACATAGTTTGTAAACTCTTAGTCTGAGAATTTGTAACTGTAACTGTCAGATAAATGTAGTGGAGAAAAAAAGTACAATATATCACTCTGAAGTGTAGTGGAGTCAACGTAAAAAGTAGCATAAAATGGAAATCATCATCATCATCAAAAATTGTACTTGAGTAAATGTACTTTCCATCACTGGAAACATGTATTTTGAACATATTTGTTGTCAGAGTTCAAAATTAAAGGACTAAATATTATAAAAGGGTTCTATTATAATATATATATATTTTTAAAACACATTCACACTATGGATTACAGAATCTTGGTAAAACTTCTGTTCAAAAACTTAAAGTGACTATGTAAATTATAAACTACTTTAGCTTTGGCTGACAGTAGCAGGCAGTCATGTCAGTCCTTATTAACAGAGTCTACCTGGCTCCAAAGTCTGGCAGTTGAGGGAGTCGTCCATGAGACACACTGTCGCTGTGCTGTAGATTGTACTCATCTCACTCATGACCTTACTCAGCTATAAGTAGATTTAAAAGAAAACACAAGGAAACAACATTTAGGTTTATGTGAATATCTAATGAACACTAATGATGGAATAAACTCAAAGCTACAGTAGCTGCAAATTACTGAGATGAAACTTGTGCCTTTGCATCTTTTACAAACATGAAAAGAACGTATTTTAAGAGATATCTAAATCTACATGTATAACAGACTTCAGCATGGAGTAACTGTCTTACATGTACAGCTTTATCATGGGATAGGGCACCAGATCCTTTGTCTTGTAGGGAGATGAGCTGTAATTTAATTTCTGGATCTTTGATCTGGTCAATGGGGAATTGCTGCGAGTCCCCCGACATCTGGGTGTAGAAATTGCCCCATATTTGCCCCTGTTCTGACTGGGTAGAATGAAAATACACACATCAAAATGTGTAAATCTGTAACTTTGTTTCATTTAACAGACATGAGCATTTGGTCAGTCTACAGTGGCTGCATGTATTTTAAAGGTCTCTGAATGCTTACCAGTTTGTCTGAGTTCTCCTTTGTGATATTGGTGTTGTAGGCCCATGATGCCAGCGAGTAATTATACATTCGCTCAGTGGCCTCCTCGTCGAACTTCTGCAGGAACACCCTTGCCCTGGTTTCCACTTCTGACTGAGCAGAAACAACGCAGGACAGTGACAGCAACGCTACAAGAATCCTAGAAGACATCTTGGCTGCTTCAGCTCCATCCACACACACACACAAACTAACTCTGAGAAGGACAGACACTGTGCTGTGTTATACAGTTTCAATAAATAATCTTTGCTGCTGCCTTGGCCTTTGGACAGCAGAGCCATAACTGAGGGTGTATCTGAGTTTTCATTAACAGATAGGATGTTTCAGAGGAACAGAGAGTGTTACTGGGATGTCTTCACATGGGGTGGGGGTGTCTGTGTTATACTTTGATTCATTATCACTCGCAAAATAGACATATGATCTCTTTCAAACGGTGCACAAATTACATGATAAAACATAAATCAAAGTCTTTTAGCATAAAACTAAAAACGAGCAAGAAAGCAGAATGAGCAATGTACATGTTACAATAAATACACCTTACAGTACATAAAAAAACACCAAAAAACATTAAATGGCCAGCTAAACGTGGAAGAAATCGTATCCATTGGCTGTTCCTTTTCAATATAAGACATTATCTCTCTTCTTAAAACTCATTTTCATCTTATGGCTATTTATTTATTGATGGAATTTGCTGTGATTGTTTTTAATTATTTAATCTGGTTTAATCTTTAATTTTATGGAATGTATTTACTTGTCAGTCTTTTATGTCTTCATTAATTGAAAAACTAAAATATAATCTGAGCACCAGAAATGGTTTTGCTCATGTTCACTTGAGGTCCTTGTTTTTTCTATTTATGTTATCCATGTGTAATTTCTTAAACAAACATGACCCTTTTGAGGAGAAAAATGTCAAGGAAACAATAGCATAAGACAAGCTTCCATCATAATCAGGTGGCTGTAGATTTTCCAGCAACAGATCAAATGCAAGTCATTTACTGTTAAGCCCTAAATGCTGATAAGAACTCAGCTGCAAGGGCAAGGTTTATTGTCAAGATTTATTACCAACCCCAAAATATGTTTTATACTATTTCTCTGCTACAAGTCAATCAATAATCAACTAAAAAAAAAAAAAAATCAGAATTGTTATTTTATCCACAGCAGCAACATAAAATCAATCCAAGAAATCCTTCAACTCTAAGTTCACCATTTTATTTATTGACACTCGTCAAGTAATCGGATAAAGACTTGTATTTGGGTTTTATATACTTATTTAGTTTTGGAGTGCCACTATTCTAATTGATCATTTTTTGTTTCTATCAGAGCAGCAAATACACTCAAAGGCAGTGCACCTGTTTTATATCCCCACGAACATGATCTTGATGCAACAGTGCCTTCTAGTGGATATATGCGATATTGTCACGATCATTAAAGGATAGGTTCACATTCTTTCAGGTCTGTGTTACTGTTAAACAGTACTTACAGTACATGCCTATTTGTACATTTAAAGCTCCATTGGTTGCTGCCTGTTCCTCCTGTCCATACTAATGAAGTGATCCCTTCTGATCGGATGTGATTCCAATGCTTTACATAAGAGTTTTTTCTTCTTCTCTGTCCCATTTACCATCTCATGATCCCTCAAGTATATATAGTGATCCTTTGGATCCCTAGGTTGGGAACCACTGGGATAAACTACCTAATGGTTTATAAAGCAATTAAAATAAAATTTAAAATCTAAAAATAAAATTTAGAAAAGTAATACAAATGTAAATGTATGTAATATGTTGCATTACTTTGATAAAGTAATTGAAATAGTTACACTACCAATACATATGAAATAGGGTAACTTGTAATCGGTAACCTATAACATTTTCAAAGTAACCTTCCCAACACTGTATATTTGTAACAGGGTTAATTTTTCTGAGTATGTTTACTTTTGATGCTTTAAGTAAATTTTGCTGTTAATTCTTCTGTACTTTTTTTAGTAGGGTTTTGAATGCATGCCTTTGATTTCTAATGGAGTATTTTTCTATTGTATGGCATTGGTACTTTTACTTATTAATAAAAAAATCTTCCATCACTGAAGGAAAATATACACTCCGTAAAAAGCCATATGTATGCAATCCAATATATAAAATAAAAAATATATATCAATTGTCAGCTTTGTTCAAGCATGATTTAGTTTGACTAAATGTGAGCCATGCTCAATGTTTTTACCACACAATTCAACATTTTAAATATATATATATATCCATCCATCAATTGTCAACCGCTTATCCTGCGTACAGGGTCGCAGGGGGCTGGAGCCAATCCCAACTGACATCGGGCAAAAGGTGGGGTACACCCTGGACAGGTTGCCAGTCCATTACAGGGCCACACATAGACAAACAACCACTCACACCTAAGGACAATCTTGGAGTCATCAATTAACCTAGCCTGTATGTCTTTGGATGGTGGGAGGAAGCTAGAGCACCTGGAGAGAAACCACACAGACACAGGGAGAACATTCAAACTCCACACAGAAAGGCCAGGACAACCGGAGTTTGAACCCACAACCTTTGTCCTGTGAGGTGACAGTGCTAACCCCTGCACCACCACGCCGCCCTTGAATATACATATACATTGCCTAATTATACTTTTTCTCAGGACTGCTTGTAGAAACTGCATTTGATCTGATGATTTGTTTGTACAAATAGGCCTTTTTCACAGCAGTCATTGTTACTTGTCACAGGTGTTACAACTAACATTAACCATGGCTCTGTTCTATTCCAGTGTCCCAGTAATCCATGACAGTGTGACAGTGAGCCAGCCTGCACAATATCACTGGCTGTATTAAGTTGTACCTCTCGGTGAAGCCTACTGACCTCAGTGTGCTGCATTCCCTCCAGGCCTGCCTGGCTGACATAAAAGACTGGATGTCAATAAACTTTCTACAACTCAATTCCAACAAACAGAAATCCTCACAATTGGAGCCCAGCACACTACTAAACATATTATGCCCTCTATTGGTCACTTCTCTACTCACATTATGCCTGTTGCCAGAATTCTTGGTGTCCTTTTTGATAGTAATCTTTGCTTCGAAAAACACATTGCTAAGATTGTCCCGTCCTGCTTCTATCACCTTAGAAATATTGCTAAGATAAAACCTATGTTAAATGCCAGAGATGCAGAAATGATTATACCTGCTTTTATTTCGTCTCGCCTAGATTATTGCAACAGCCTGTTCTCGTGTCTAAATAAAAAAACTCTGAACCGCTTACGATTAGTGCAGAACTCAGCTACTAGGTTATTAACCCAAACCAGGAAGTACAACCACATCATTCCAATTTTAATCTCTTTACATTGGCTCCTTGTCTATTTTAGGATTGATTTTAAGTTCTTATTGATAACTTTTGAAGCTTAATGGCCTTCTGTGCATCCCTGAGTCCAGGCTGAAAACACGAGGAGAAAGAGCCTTTGGAGTCAGGGCTCTGGAATGACCTGCCTGATGACATTAGTATGTCGGAGTCAATGTCTTCTTTCAAGTCTCGCCTGAAGACTTATTTATCTTATTGTTTTAATTTCATTTTAATTTTATTATGATTATATATGATTTTAATGTTTTTATCTTTCAGTGAAAGCACTTTGTGCTCTGTTTGATAAGTGCTCTAAATGAAGTTTATTATTATTATTAAAATACCCTAAAAATGAGGCAGCTAAATTGAATTCAGCCATCATTAATTTTATTATTTACACATGTGCTTTTTCTACAGTGACAACTCAAAATGTCTCTGTTATGATGGGTCAGCCCACAGTACCAACAGTTTAGTGACATCATGTAATTCCCAGCATAGCTCCACTAACGTAGACCTGACCGGAAGTCTAATCAGCCAGAGCGATTGAAAACATCTGTGTGGGTGTGCAGAGCTCTTAGTTTGCAGTGTAACAAATGATCATATCAAATGAATATAGTGGAGTAAAAAGTACAATTTTTCCCTCTTAAATGTTGTGAAGTAGAAGTATAAGAAGTTACGTAACATGGAAATACGCAAGTAAAGTAAAATTGTACCTGAGTGAATGTACTTAGTTATATCCGAGAACTGCTAAAATCAGCGTCAGTTGACTTGAGACATATGTGTCACTCTGTGAACTCTCACACAGTCAGGACGCTGAAGAAAATGTTTCCTGGCAACACATAAATATAGTCTCATTTAATATGTCGAATTTAATATGTCGAATTCATAGAATTTAAAGCAATGATCACCATGTTTCAAATTTGCAATGAAGGAGAAGGAGGGTGAAAACGTAGAAATGAAACGAAATGCAAAGTTCACACTGTACAAACAACTAACAATATTGTTTATACCCATTAACATGCGTTTTCCTAGGCTCTTTATATACTGTGGTTTATCGTACGCTTGGATGCAAATATATAACATTTCCCAATTTGTAGCTCAGATGAGCAGCTCAGAGTGAGGCCCATGATAGGTAACTGTCAATCTGTGCTGCTTCAAATTTGCTGCAACAGCAAGTTTATTGCGGACATGTCTATATACAGACTGAGCCTAGAGGCTATAGGCTAATCACTGTGAATGACACACACAACAGCCAGGCTTAGCATCCTGGAAACTCACATTCAGCAAAAAAAATCTGTTCCCTGGACATCATTCAGCTACAGTAGGCTCCTGCTGTAGGTGAACTTTTCGAGAAGTTCACACTTTTGCCATTTAGACCCTTAGTGTTTGACCAGAAAGATGTGTACAGTGAAGTGTGTGGTGCATTATAGCATATTCTACTATTTTTACTGTAATGTGTTGCATTACATTTTATTTTGTCCTGGATTGCTTTGTAAACATGTATGTTGAAAACTGGGCGAGTATGAAAATTCTAGGGGCTGATTATTCTTGATATGTGTAGCGTGTAGGCTCACCTCTTCCATCTTTTGTTTCTATGTCAGATAACAAAAGGCAAAAAAAAACAAAACATTTCCAAAAGCTGAAATGCACAAATGGGCTAAATAAAATAATGTAAAATTATCCATGTTATTTAAGTCCTTGTTTTCTACCTCCACAAGGTTATATTTCTGGTGGACCATCATCCTTTGAAGTCTTCTGAAAGGAAGCTTGACAGTCCTGTTAACCACTGGCTGAGATATGGTTACAAGAAAAAAAATAAATGTAGCAATTTTACAGTTGGAACCCCGATAACAAAAATATACCTTATTATACAATACCTTCTATT